GTGCTCAAAATTGACCAATCACGAAACTTGTAGCAGATTTCGGCAAGAAAGCGTCATTAGAAACAAATTTTAATCCAATGAAATCGCTTGTTATAACTACGGGGAAAAAACAGGCGATGTTACGAAAGCGCGATTACGAAATGAATGACCGCCGTGTTGTGACAGTAACTACATTTGTGTGACAGTTTAGCCTTAAATTGGATTGCCCACTAATTAAGAATATAAACTTCACTTGTGGTTCTCTTTTATTGCATGCATGCGCTTCTAAGATCAAAGGATGTATAGTGTGAAAAGTTAACTAGTTGAACAATCGTATTTCCGGGACTTGCCGCGGATATTTTCAAACAGATTATTAGAACTCCATTCAGCGATAAACCGTTGATTATGCAATGAGAAGCGTTATGTGCAAATAAACAACGAACAACAATACAATCATGTCTGTGTAAAACTCTCAGTATTAAAAGTGTACATAAATTTTGGGAGCCATGCGTTACCGCGCGTAATAACCGAAGTAGCGCTTTATCGAAGAGCGCAATAGCGAGCGATCACTGTATATGCAGTCTGCGACTTGAGTCACTAGTCACAAGTAGAGTCGAGTTAAATTAGCAAGCTCAGCCAATATCAGCCCATGTGATAACACTGAAATGCTTTAAGAGCTATGTTCAGCCAAAGAGACTCTGGCAGGTTTGGGGCGCAGACTGTGTGTGTATATATGGTTTCTGTACATGCATGTCCTATACACCTATGTGTACTATTTGTTGCCTGACATTTAAAACTGCTGGCTTAAAGCATCATCCCAAAAAATAAATGAATCAAAATACATTAGTAGTTGTCTTATTCCTGGCATTGAGTTGGATGGCTGGCGTCACTGTAGTGTTTGTTGTTTAATTCATCACCAAACAGGGGGCCCAGTTGTCTAAGGCGCTGCAATTCGCTGTGCAGAGTTGCGTCCCTTGGGCACGCCAGAAACCTATGATTGTGGGTTCGAATCCCAGTTCGCCCCGATTATGTTTCTAGGTTTGTCAGCACCATACCCGTGCTCGTGGGTTTCACCGAAGTGGTAAACGTCTGAGACCTGCATCACTTCGGGCTTTCTTCCCACATTAAGCTGACACGCCGCGATATAACTGGAATACTGTTAAAAGCGGCGTTAAACCAAACTCACTCACTCACCAATATTTCAGCTGTAATAAGGTGGTCATATTCAGGGGTAGAACTTAACACAAGCCCAGGGCTAGTACCCGGGGACAAATTCCTGGGACCTGGTACAAATTTCCCCAATTGTTTTATCTTTACCCTGGCTAGTAAGGCTTTTGAGTTTAGTTCTAACTCTGTAATCGAGTCTGGACCAGTCAATCAATTCACATCACGAACATCGATCCAAGCAAGTGGTGTAATCTACCAAGTCAGTGAGCCTGATCCAGTTAGTCCTCCTTACGGCATGCGGAAGGCCTATTCTAACCCGGATCTTCATTAGCTGTTGTGTGAAAGGAGTTTATGGCAGCGGTGTTTAGGCGAATCAGCCTTTTAATATTTTGTTAGTTTCTTTTTTTAAACCCAATCTAAAACTAAAAGGGCAGGGGTATATAGTTATACCAAAGAATTACGTCAGTCCATCCTTCCACGACATTTTTGTGTGTGACTTGAACTTGAAAACTATGTATAGATTTACAAACTTGAACACGTTTTAAACCTGTAGGAGAGGTGCAGTGATTTCAATATTTGGATTTTCTAAAATATTATTTTTACTTCCAATGTGTGCAACCTATGGCTTGAAAATTACTTCATGGATTCTTTTCTTATTGGGGGTACAATTTCTAGACCAATAGGAGAGGTGCAGTCCGAAGTTTGTTTTAAATATTTGGATTTCTGAAAAAATACAGGTTTTTTTCCACATTTTAACTTGTTTACTTGTGCAATCTAGGACTTGAAAACTACTTCATGGATTGTTTTCCAATTGGGGCTACAGTTTCTATACCAATGGGAGAGGTGCAGTGCGAAGTTCTGAGAAAATATTGCTTTTTCCATGTTTTGAACTTGGAAATATGTTTGAGTCGAAGTTGGGGGTATAAGTGAGCCCTGCTCACTTTTTGTCTTTTGGGGAGTTTGAGAATCATATCTTCTTATGAAATAAGTTATTACAAATGAAATCAAAACCAGGTATGCACACATTATTAGGTGAGGTGAAATGGGGTTTAACGTCGCATCCAAGATTATTGCACTTATATGGCAACGTGCATGTATGTGTGTGTGTTTGTGTGGCTGCTTGTACTAGTCAGGACTGATGCCGATTTATAGTGCTAGCACACTGAGATACCATGCCGCAGTTTAACATGAATACCCCACTCAGACACAGTATACTGACTCCGAGCCGACCAGTCCTTGTTTTAGCCCCTTAATGCCGAGCCCCAGACAGGGTAACAACAAGTACCATACTTTTGGTATGACGCGGTCGGGGATCGAACCCCGGACCTTCCGCTCTCCGGGCGGACTCTCTACCACTAGACCACAGAGGCAGTCATCATAATTAGATTCGCCCTGTGTTAGTCCACATTTCTGTTTTCGTGTGTCATTTGTCATAAACATCTCAAAAACCACAGGACAAATAAATTTGAAAATGTACTTAATCTGACACTTTTAACGGCCATAACTCCGCCATTTCTGTTCAAAATGGAATAAGTTTGGTACTTGCAGTGGTAGAAGGGCTCAACACATTGTTTTTCCACAATATTTCATAAAAAAAAGTAGGGGATCATGAATACCATGTACTGTATTCGACGTAATAAGCACCCAGGGCACTCTCAAAATTAGAAATAGGGGCTGTTATTAGAATATTATTTTGGTGAAAAAAAGTTGAAAGATAAATTTCGTGGCTCTATGCTGACAGCCTGAAATGTTTATGTACGACAGATATATTTTTCCAGAATTTAATGGCCCATAATTCCATAATTAAGGGTGCATATGACACATGAGTGCATATTATACACGAAAAAATAAGTCTTGTGTACATTGATCAATCGGAAGGGGTGCCAATTGGGATTGTTCACTAGCCAATAAATTAGCAAATATCGCCGTGGGCGCTTATTACGTCGAATATGGTATTAGAACAAAGATAAGTGTTGATGACAAACATTATATGCGAGAACGTTTATATCTGTAAAACTGAGCAACAATCCATCTCGGACAGTCTGCATGTGCCTCACAGTCGCACCACACACGCGTAGGATGTCATTCCTGACTTTGACACTTTCAAAGAAGGTGTCCTAAGTTTGAGAACTTGTACCAATCCCATTCACCTTTTGTGCATTAAATATGTTTAAATCAAGGAAGTTCAATTAATCCCTGGGGACCATTCTGTCAATCTTGTCTTTCCGGGCAAAAACGCTTGTGCTTACCTTGCACGTCAGTGCTTACCTCCAGCAGCACAACAACCATAGAATGTGCCATGGCCAGCAATGAGACCATCCCCCAATTGAACATATCTCAGACATGACAGGGAGATGTGTGTGTCAACCATGTTTGCCAAATAGAGTGTGACAGATTTCCTTAAATCGCAACATCGTAGCAGTATTATGTATGCACTACTGATCCAAAAACATTAACTTTGAAATTTCCCTATCTTACCCCTATCGTCATTCAAGATCGTTGGTGGTCAAAACATCTACTGTCGTACTTCACTACTGGTTGTAATGTGTTCCCAATTCGTTCTTTATTATCATACAACTATAACTAGAAACTAATGTCTGTCAGAACTTTTGAAATTTTAAGTTATTTCCGATATGCCTAACTTTTCTAAGAGTATTTTCTGTCCCTCACACTATCAACATGATCTCATCAGAAACCAGAAGATCAATGAAGCTGATAATTTACATGCTTGTTCCCACCAATGAAGACAATTTGTTCAAGAGCTTATCTGTTAGGCTGTAACAGCCATATTGAAAAATCTATTTGTGGCCTTTTCTCAGCTTTTTTTGTTCAAAATGTCAAGAAATTTGCTTCTTGTTTCAACACCTATGTTTTATGCCTTGTTTTCACCATGCTCTTAAATTCTCTCCAAGGTTGAGGGAGCTGAACTTTGGCATGTATGTTTATCCAAATGATGAGATCATTACTTGTTCAAAGCATTAGATCTTAGCATTAGTTTTTAGTCCTCTGATTTATGTAGAAAGTTTCTAAATATCACTGCTGATTTTTTTTAAATGTCTGTTTTTGCCATCAAGCACTGACTGTTGTCTAAAAAGGCCTCCTGATTACAATTTTGGTATGGACCAACTTCTGTCCCAGTATTCCTACACAGCACGCCCTTATCCAAGGTGATGATTGATAAAGGCCAGAAGTAAAGACCTGTACCATGTCATGGACTAGGATAATAGGGTAACCGAGCTGCAATATTTTACAAACCAAGGCATCTTACCACTTGGTTGACAAATCTGCTGATCCTGAAAATGAGGCATGTGGAGGAGGAATTCCTGTAAAGCCTTTTTTACCACCGAACACTAATTACAACCCTTCGAAATCCCTGCTGGACCCAGACAATCTGTGCTCAATATATGCTCAATGTTCCGTAAACGTGTGCTCAAAGCAAGAGAGGTAGTCACGACGACAACTATTCATACCGGTAAAAGCTGCAACTAAAATAATACAATATTAGAGTTTAGTATTCCCGATATTATAATAGTATTAAAGACACAATTTCTTCTGTTCACTGCATCAAAATTCTTATAAACTATATCCTTTGGAGAGCTGGCAGAAGCACCCAGATGAATCCTTTGAAATAAATCAAATACGGTACCTTCTCCCAAATAGTTTTCAAGTTTGAAATGGTTTTTTTCTTTCATATCTCACAATTTTTTTTTACAATAACTGCAGAAAAATTCTTGTCTTGTTTTGAGAACTGAAATCTGTAAAAAAAAAAAAGAGTCCGACATGCACTTACGATCCCATCAAGAAATAATTCCTTGTTCATGAAGCCTGTATAATGCACAAACAACAAATAGTAATTCAGGTTCAGTTGCGTGTGCTTTTTTTGCACAACAGATCAACAATCATTTGTATTGAAAATGCATATGTACAAATCACACAAGACATGTTTTCATTTATTGACATGATCATTTAAACTGTTATATTTTATCCATATTTTAACTTTACATAATTGTCAATGGTTGATAACAATCAGATCCTTTTGTCTCCGGTCAGTATGACTGGCGATGAAGATTTCTCCACTACCAAATGACAATGTGCCTGTACCATGACAACATATGTGTAACATTGTAACATGACATACTGTCCTCTTGAACACCTTCAGGACACGTGTGCACTGAAAAGCCCTATCTTTTCATACAACTGTTGAATAATGTCCGCCACAGGATCGGAGGAATTCCTGATTAACCATTCTTTGTCATCACATGGTCTTCCCTCTGATACCTCCCTCGAAGTGAAAGTCGTCACTCAAGGCAAATACACTGTCTGTCTTCAACCTGTCCACCAGTTTCCTTGCACACTCGCATGATCATAGTCAATTAAGCCCCGTCAACCAGAATTCCACAAGCACAGGCTTGGTAGCCATTCCGCCTCTAACTTGTCCACCACAGTTCCTCTTGCACAGGCTCAAGTCTATCCATCTAGCAGCTGCCTTTGTTCTAACAGCCGCATGGAATGATTTCAATCGGACTCTTGTTCTGTCTCCATCACTGAACCTGTTGGTGCTGCTGCTGTGTGCTCTGCCCTGCCTGCGATGCCTGTGACCCCGCCCCTTCCTGTGCCCCCGAGGCCTCAGAGGGAGGTCTGCCAAGTGAAAATACGACCAGTCAGCTGCTACTGTAGCAAAGAGAGAGATAGGTGTGGCATGCATCACTGACAGCCGGACGGATAGACAGGCAGAGAGAAGCCAGGCTACACTACACTATGGTCCTAACTAGCTACCATCGCCTACTCTAGGAGGCAGAAACTTTACTAGGAGTACACTATCAAAACATCCAAGGATTCCCTGGGCATATGCATTATTTGTAACCATGGTAACACTACTCTTCCCTGATAACACTCATGTAACCATGGTAACACTACACCCCACCAATACACCATCTTAGTGAAACATTTAATGGACACTGTGCTTACAATGTCATCCCATTTATCCCGAGGAAGGAGGTAGATCATGTTTAAACCAATTAAAATTGATTTATTTATTTCTTGTTGCTTAGTGCCACTCAGCAAATATTCTGGCACAGGTTGGCAGTCAGTAAATAATAAGGCCAGGACTAGACAAACCAATGATTGATCGGGGTATGGTGACACAATCAACCAAGCCACCGAGTCGGGCCACCGAGTTGGACCACCCGTTCTATTAAGTCACCTTGTATGACAAGCACAGGGTACTGGGAACTCATAAGTCTCAAAGTCACTGATTGGTGCATCAATCTTTAAGGTAATTAAACCAGACTAGCCTTGGGAAGGGTGTAAATCTACACCCCTTGTAAATTTTGTAAAGATGAAATAAATTAACCAGTTCTCAGGGAACGACATTTGAAATATAGAAATTCTGACCAGGTCGTATATTAAAAAACTGAAATAAACATGTTTCTTTTTAGTCAACAGTTGAGTGAGTGAGTAAATGAATGTTATATTTAAGCCACAGTCGGCTATATTCCAACTATATGATGGTGGCCTGTACATAAACCTTGTGGTCCAGGGACTAATACCATGAGCCAGATCTGCTCTCTCCAGCCAAGTCGGACATTTCAACCTACTTTAGTGGTCTCTCTAGAATCCCCAGGAGGGATGGAACAAACATGGAGTACTTCGGACCTATCTTGAAAATCTTGAATCCAAATGTTGGGAATACTTAATTCTAATAGTCAGAACTGCTAATCCAGAGAATCCATAGATGGCTAAGAAAGATCTTGCAAAAAACAGAAATAAAATTTGTTTCCTAGAAAAAAATATCTTGCATTACTATAATAAAAGAAAGTGAAATTCTTGAATCATGTCAATACTTTATGGGTATGTATACACTATGTTCCCAAGTCATCCATGGACACATACGTCCGCTCTGTAGTGAAGTTTGTTTAGGCCTGACTCCAGCTAGAGGGAAATCAGGGAGTGTTCAAATCAATGAACGCTGACTGCGGCCCTTCTATGCACAAAGTTCATGCATGGAGAAGGCTTCATTTGACCTCGGTGGGTCATATAGGAGTTATCTGACCAAAAATAGACAAGCGCTTTCATTACACCTCAAAGCCCATGCATTAACAGTCAATGGAGGAACTTAGTGTATACGCATCCGTAAAGTACCGACAATGATGAGGCTGCTTATGAACAATAAGTAATTATTAATCTAAAGGGGATCACACAACCGCACAAAGGTGTTAGTGAAATAAGCAGAACAGAGGACGTCCTTTTGAGCAAGCTTTGGTTTTTGGGTTGTTTTTTTCGCTTAACACCACAGTCTGCAATATTCCAGCTATATGGCAGTGGCCTGTATGTGACGATCCACACTGACGGGAATACAATGACACACCACCAATCAAGTCACCGGACCTGACACCTGATCCATTTGGCCTTCTCTAATGACCAGCACAGTTAACTTGGGACCTATTCTAGCCCGCAAATCTCACGTGGGTTCAGAGCAAGCATTATTGTAGGAACACGCCAAAAGAAACCTAGTGCCAATTTGATAGCAATTGCTTAAACAAAAAGCCAAGCCACAAATGGAGCAATTTAAATGTTTTCGAAGCCTGCAGCTGTAAATTCTTTGCTTTAGCCATAGCCAACAGAAACAAATCAGTTCAAAACAGTGATTCAAAAGTTTCTTTGATGATAGGCATTTAGAAGTTGGAGTATTAAGTTAGGATAAGAATTTATGGATGAACAACTTCTTTATTACAATTAAGAGCTCTTAATAGTAATAAAGAAGTTGTTCATCCATTAATTCTTATCCTTACTTGATTCAAAAGTTGTTTACTTTATGCAGTCAGCAATATTCCAGCTATATCACATCCACCTGTAAATACTACTAGTCCTGGCCCGTCAAGCCAAAGGCTGTGAGCATAGGCATTGATGCATTTTTTAGGGTATAATAGCCCTCGAAATTCATGCAAATCAGCTAGTCTGACACTGTGTTGGTGACAAGTAATTATCCAATGATGGTAGTCCTCATTGACTAGAAAAGTACCAGAGTGTTATTTATTATTTGCATTCGGAACTGGCCTTTTCTATTTGCTTTCGAGGTACAGAAATGAGATATGCTACTTTGAATTGTATGCCCTCTTGTGCTGAAATTGGCTGATTTGAAAGTTCACCTGACGGAACCTCATGTGCAAGGTTTGTTGAATCTCCACGCAAAGAGGTATTGAAAAAAAAGAGGTAAAAGATCTGATTTTAATGAAATTGACCACTCCGGAATCCCTATCCCAACATCCCCACCCCAGAATCCCCATCCGAAATTACCATGGAATGGAAACACTATTTCCTGTCATCTACGATATCTACACATTGACATGTGAAAGGCAAGATTACCAGAAATTACAAAAAATACAAAATATTTCGCACTGACTAAACAAAAAAGGCTAGAATCTGTTTACACTAAACTGTAACCATGGTAACATGCAACAGAAACAGAAAGAGAGCACGAGCAGCTAAGTTTGCCACAAATGATTTCTCAGTTAAAATTTAAAAAATACTAAAGTTGATACTTAGAATAATTTAATTTATACTTAAAAGTAAACTAGATTACATTTAGATTTAATCATATTTTCAAAGCAGTGAGGATTCCCTCTGAGAGACAATTAACATTACCTTGAAGGGTTTAACTTTGGCTTTGGCATTTTGGCCAGTACTGCTGGAATTTCCTTCTTTTCATCATACTTCTTCCACATTTCATATAACGCTAGAATCTGACGAGTCACCTCCAGAATCTGCAATGTAACACAAAAACATCAGTCAGGAGAAAACTACCTCACCAAAGTTGAGGTTCACAAACTATTATACCGTTATACAGTGTCAAGGATTATCTAGAATGAAAAAATAAGTGCCCTTGGCAGGAAAACTGGGATCAAAATTTATTATTTTGAGCAAAATTGAGAATTTCTTCAAATCCTTATTTTCTTATATTTCTTTCGCCGAAACTAATGTAAACAATATTGAATGAAATTTTGAATAAAATATATTACAAACAAAAGTTCTTATAACCAGAGAGTCTAATTATAGGTTTAAATGGTGGACTTCAGATCAGATTTGTTGATTGGTATTTCCAGTGTTGCGTGCGGTGATCAGCTGGTAAGGTTTATTGCGATTGGGAAAAAACATTGTGTCAGTTTAATTTGATTAAAAATTTGGGAGCCATGCATTACCCTGCACTAGAGACAAGTTAGCGCTATATTGAACGGCGCAACATTGAGGGAACACTGTATTCGGAGGTGTCCCAATTTTGTCTACTATACAATAATGCTGGTTACTTTTTACTGGTCCTGTTATCAGTAAAATACAAGTTACCTCTACAAAGTCATAATATTAGTTATAACTACATCAACATGATTACCACGAATAATACGAATAAAGAAGATATCAACATGATTACCACGAATACTACGAAGAAAATCTTAATTCCAAGTTGGGAATTTTTACTGACATTTGCTGCCGATATGGGGCTGAAATATCAGACTCTGAGCAGGTCAAGATCAATCCTGGAGTGTATTATGGGCTTCACAACATGGGGAATCAAACCTAGGTACTTGCCATGACAAGTGAACGCTCTACCACTAGGCTACCTTTTAGCTACCATATTTACTCTATTAGACGCCCAGGCATCTATTAATTTCACGCAAGCTGTTGACCCAGCGTCTATTAGAGGCCAATGTTCTTTTCTGTTTAATGCTGGCACAGTGGCAACTCACCGAATCCCAAATTCTACAGTCATAGGATACATTTGCAGAAAATGGTTATTGTCAATTGAAGGGAGAAATTGTTACATGCCGCAAGTTAATTTGATGGGGATAGTTAATTTCATTAAATGATGGACCCAGCCTCTATTAGAGACCTAGCGTCTAACAGAGACCTGGCTTCTATTTTTTGGACAGGACGTATGACCTGGCATCATTTAGATTAGTGTTTTGGAGGTCTGGCATCTAATAGAGGAAATATGGTATGTGTTTACACTATCGTTGTCAACAGCAGCATACATATGGTCTACTTAGTATCTTGTTGATTAACATTGCATGCATCAATATTCCAACTTCATGACCACAGCCTGAAAATAATCAAATCTGGACCAGATAATCCAATGATTTGATATTAATAATTATGAGCAATGCCCCATGCTGTTGAGGAACAATGAGTGAGTGAGTGAGTTGGGTTTAACTCCGCTTTTAACAGTATTCCAGTTATATCACGGCGTGTCAGCTTCATGTGGGAGGAAAGCCCAAAGTGATGCAGGTCTTAGACGTTTACCACTTCGGTGAAACCCACAAGCACGGGTATGGTGCTGACAAACCTAGAAACATAATCGGGGCGAACCAGGATTCGAACCCACAATCATAGGTTTCTGGCGTGTCCAAGGAACGCAACTCTGCACAGTGAATTGCTGCGCCTTAGACAACTGGGCCACCCGTGTCCCCTGAGGAACAATGAAACACCATCAACCGAGTGACAAAGAGAGTGAATTTTGTGTACTGGCACACAATGCTGCGGCTACAACAAAGTCAAGTATAAACCAGTGGTTGATAGAATGAGCAACAAATCATGTAGTTTACACATTTACACATTGTAACCAACCAGTCCTCATTTCTGTCATGTAATGAGTAATCTGGGAGTTGTTTATCAATAGTCCCCTTTCATGCACAAGACACCATTGTTTGCCACTGTGTCCTACCTTGTCCATGTCCACAGAGAGCTCAGCAAACCACTGTTTTATATCCTTCTGCTTGATGACGCATGCCATGTGCAAACAAGCTGAAACAAGTACAATAATTACTATATTTGCTACTACTAACACATCATTATCTTATCACATTTCGTTCAGCAAATCTACATTTGTGTAGTCTAATTTCAGCTAGGATACATTTGTGTAGTCTAATTTCACCTGGGGTACATTTGTGTAGTCTAATTTCACCTGGGGTACATTTGTGTAGTCTAATTTCACCTGGGATACATTTGTGTAGTCTAATTTCACCTGGGGGTACATTTGTGTAGTCTAATTTCACCTGGGATACATTTGTGTAGTCTAATTTCACCTGGGGGTACATTTGTGTAGTCTAATTTCACCTGGGATACATTTGTGTAGTCTAATTTTACCTGGGGTACATTTGTGTTGTCTAATTTTACCTGGGGTACATTTGTGTAGTCTAATTTCAGCAAACAGAAGGCAACTGGGGTACCTGTCTGTAGTACCCTAAGACGACCGCTTATTGATGGCAGTATTGACAGATGTACTAACAGTTAATCATGTCAATGGAAAACTTACCTAATGCGATGATGTATGGCGGGAATATCAGGGGGACATCTGTACGAAGACTGTCGTTGACAATTCTCCTAGGAATAAAACACAAAACATAAAGTGGAGAACACTCATGATTGTCAAAGTTCACAGGTTCGTTGTTAGTGGACATTTATTTGTGGATCTGAAACAAAAAAATAAATAAGGAATGATAAAAAGTAGTTGCTGTTTTGAAACACAGAACAAGATTGCAACACTTTTTATACATCAGCCCATTAGATCAACATTATCAGTGATATTGTAACTTGCATCAGACATGTTATTTAATCATGTTAAGATGAGTTGAGATGAGGTGAAGTGGCGTTTAATGTCGTGTCCAAGATTATTGCACTTATATAGCGATGTGCATGTATGTGCATGTGTGTGCGTGCGTGCGTGTGCGTACATGGTTGCTTGTCCTAGTCAGTACTGATGCCAATTTATAGTGCTAGCTCACTGAGATACCATGCCGAAGTTTAACATGAATACCCCCTTCAGACACAGTATACTGACTCCAAGCCAACCAGTCCTTGTTTTAGCCCCTTAATGCCAAGCGCCAGACAGGGTAAAAACAAGTACCATCTTTTAACGTCTTTTGCTATGACATGACCAGGGATCCAACTTCAGGCCTTCCACTTTCTGGGTGGATGTTCTACCACTAGACCTAGGCGGACTGGTTAATGGTGAGTGAGTGAGCTAGGTTTGACACTGCTTGTCCAGCAATATAACAACTGGTAGCACCAAGGCAGGTACACACTGTGCCCATATGGGGAATCAAACCCAAGTCTGCAGCATGACCAGCAAACACTTAAACCACAAAATACAAATACCGTATTAGACGTAATAAGCGCCCCGGCGGTATTTGCTAATATATTGGCTAGTGAACAATCCCAATTGGCAACCGTTCCGATTAATCAATGTACACAAGACTTATTTTTTCGTTTATAATACGCACTCGTGTGTTATATGCACCCTTAATTATGGGCAATTAAATTCTGGAAAAATATATCTTTTGTACATAAACATTTCAGATGTCAGCATAAACCACAAAATTTATCTTTCAACTTTGTTTTTTTTTCACCGAAGTAATATTCTATGAAGAGCCCCCTATTTCTAATTTTGAGAGCGCCCTGAGCGCCTATTCCGTTGAATACATTGAATACGGTAAATATAGAATAAATAAGTAGTTACAACTTTTAACAGACAAGCAGATCTTGTCAGTGAATGAGTTTGTGTTTCACTTATATCAGGTTAATTTTGGATGAAAGCCCGAAGTGATGCAGATCTCAGACCTTAATCTATTTTGGTGAAACCCATGAGCACGGGTATGGTGCGGACAACAAACATAATCATGGTGAATCTGTCTGATGATTCACACTATTGCTTAGTGGAACTAAATATTTTCAGATCAGGTCTAACTTAATGAAAACTAATCAACTAAATTTGAATAACTTACCTGTTACGTGACCAAAGAACTAAACATGCTAAACGTGTATAAAACTATGAAGGTTCAAGGAACTAAACGTGATTCTCTTAAGTAAGTGATGAAAAGATGAATAAACTTCAATTAAAGAACAAACTGAATACCTAATGCTTATTGGCTATTAGAGTCTGGCAATGTCACAAGACTTGCTTGACAATGGTAAACGGATCTATACCAAAACGTCGCCTTTACAGTATTAAAGAAGTTGTTATCCATAACTTGTGTCTACTTTGTCATCCGTCAACTTCAAAGTAATGCCTATCGAACAATTCTGTCAGATCTAGCCAATCATGGAAGGTTTTTATTTTATCTGAAGTTCACTGTGGTTCATCAGTTTTTTACAACATGTTCTCTGTAACTTGTTCCACTGTTCTCACCATGCAAGGGGCAGGAGGTCACTCTCGGATCCCAAGTCCCCACAGTACTGTGTGAGGGGGCGATAGGCGTGGTACAAGATCAGACAGCAATCCTGCAATTGTCAAGTCAATTAAATGTCAACCACATGGCAACAGGGTTAAACATGGTTCAGTGTGTATGTGATTCTACTGGTCTCTAAACATCCCTAGACCCATATCACTTTACACATAATCTTAGCAAATATAATATGCCAAAATGGAGAATTCAAAACAGTAGAGGCGTTATCAATGGTCATGATATGTCTTGATACATATCTCTAGACTTGAGTCAGGATACAATAAAAATTGCTCAATAAAAAATACTTAATTTGAGCAACTTTTATCTGAAATTCTTCATACTTAATGTGGCAGAATATTTCTAAGTGTGGCATTAACAACAAACAACAAACAAACAAACACGTCCTAATGGAAGCAAACCCCTGGGACAGTGTAGTTAGACAGCAGCTCACCATCATCTCCAGCAGGTAGAACTCACACTCCAGGACGTTCTGTATCCTGTAGGGGTACTCCTGGTTGTAGGCATAGGAGAACTTACTCTTCACTGTAACACAAGCAAGCACATCTTGACACATGCAGAAAACACACGCACACACACACACATATATATATGCTGACATAGAACAAAAATGCATAATCAACTTTAACTCAAAATCAGAAAAGATGTGTTTTTGTGCTCAAGTCCATCTCCAAACACAGAATGAGATTCGAACCCGTACAACGACATTGTTGTGTTTGATTATCACATGCCTGAACACCCACAACAATTTAATTTGATTTTTGTGGCCATTTTGCCAAATATTAAAAAAACACAAATATGTGTTTCTAAAATGGTCTTGGTATACATTACTTGATGAAACACGTACCAATATTCTGACATGTACTAATCAGCCTGCTGTTAGATATGACGCCAGATTCCTGAAACGATAATAAATATACAGTTACCAGGGCTTGTTTGATTGTTTGACCCAAAAGGACACATTGATACTCCTCTGAAAGTTACAGTACTTTTGTCTAATATCATTCACTGTCCCCACCCTACAGCTGACAGAAAGAATATCATCCAAGAATCAGCCTCAACCCCACTGCTGGCAGAGTGAGTGAGTTGAGTTTAATGCCGCTTTTAACAGTATTCCAGTTATATCACGGCATGTCAGCTTAATATGGAAGGAAAGCCCCAAGTGATGCAGGTCTCAGACCTTTACCACTTCGGTGAAACCCACGAGCACGGGTATGGTGCTGACAAACCTAGAAACATAATCGAGGCGAACCGGGATTCAAACCCACAATCATAGGTTTCTGTCGTGCCCAAGAGAAGCAACTCTGCATAGGGAATTGCGGCGCCTTAGACAGCTGGGCCACCCGTTCCCCCCACTGCTGGCAGAAAGAACATCATTCAAGAACCAGTGCCCACCCAACTGCTGGTAGCATGAACATCATCCAAGAGGTGAGGTGAAATTGGGTTTAACGTCGCGTCCAAGATTATTGCACTTATATAGCGACGTGCATGTACGTGTGTGTGTTTGTGTGGCTGCTTGTACTAGTCCGGACTGATGCCGATTTATAGTGTTAGTTCACTGAGATACCCTGCCGCAGTTTAACATGAATACCCCACTCAGAAACAGAATACTAACTCCGAGCCGACCAGTCCTTGTTTTAGCCCCTTAATGCCGAGTGCCAGACAGGGTAACAACAAGTACCATCTTTTAACGTCTTTTGGTATGACGCGGCTGGGGATCGAACCCCGGACCTTCCGCTCTCCGGACGGACGCTCTACCACAAGACCACGGAGGCGGTCTCCATCATCCAAGAACCAGTCTCAACCCCACTGCTGGCAGAAAGAATATCCATCAAGAACCAGATTCCCTCGCACCCCATCCCCTACTGCTAGGAACACAAACACCTTTCTAGTCTGTCTTACAGACCCTGATACAAATATATATCAAATACAGCCCATGCAAGTCTATAATGTTTGGCAAGTCTAGATCACTGCAGTATCTGAAAATGAAGAGAGTCACTGGGCTCCTTTTTATTATATTTTTATTAAGATAACTGAACAACTGTTTTTTTATGTACAATATGTTCATTTCAGAGACTAGATTTTAGTCTAACACCTTTCAAGAACCACTTCATCTTCATACATCAAATTCAATTTTTTGTCTTTGAGATTACGTACCTCTACTTTGGCAGCCAGGAAGACACAGGTCGGGGCCATCAGCCAGGGATCAATAGACTTCAAGGAGTTCCTACAACACCAAATATACCATGACAACTTTCATCTTGACACAGCCTTCTCCAATAAATACTTTGCTTCCTTCATGTTTCCTTACCAAAGGCTCAAGCCAAGTGGCTAAAACGTTCGCTCGTCACGCCGAACGCCCAGGTTCGATTCCAAACATGGGTACAATGTGTGAAGCCCATTTCTGGTGTCCCCTGCCATGATATTGCTGGTATATTGCTAGCAGTGGCATAAAACCATACTCACTCACTCACTCACACAAGTTGGGCTTATTGTTTGTTTCTACATGTTCTACATCCTACAGAACGAACTGGAACCAAATTTCTCCCACAAAAAGGGTTATTCTTCATCATTCATTTTAAGCATGTTAACCAATATTGCACTATCATGTACATGGGTTTACATAATGTATAAATGCAGGGAATAGAACCAGAACATGTGATAAACCAACACTTTACCCACTTAGCTAGCCTAAAACCCCTTCTACATCAGTGACTGAGGGATGAGTTGTCGTGGTTACACAGATCTCAACTTGATATTCAGAATGCATTTTCACAAACCTGGCATAGAATCTTTTGAAATAGATTGTAGCTGTTGCAATAACCTGCTGTCTCAGTTTCAACTGTTCTCCAAGTGCTTGCATGACTGAAAGACAGGATGTACACATATTAGACAACAACATTTGATGTTTCATACACTTTTTTCACATGCTGTCAGGGTTTGCTGACACACAGTCATACAAGCAACAAAACCTGACCACCTTATCCCATATTTAGCTAGTTCCTACAGCAAATATGAGGTACTGTGGTCAGAACCAGAATCCTCGATACTGAAAAATATCTACTATCATGTCCCATGCTGTCAGGATACAAATATTACAATGAACATGACGACACATCCAGTCCCCATTTCAGTTGGCTATTATGACATTCTCAGGGGCTAACGCTCCAGGTGTACAGCAAGTGTCAGTGAAAATTCACATATTGAAACATGTTCAACTTCATGTTGTCACTTTCATGTTATCCTAACTATTGTTTGCAAATCCATTTTGTATTTCACTGAAAACATGACACATGACACATGAATAATGGGAACAAGTACTTGTCTGAAGTTGTAATCCGTGCTAATCTCAACATGGCAAGTTTGAAATTCAACTGTAAAATATGAGTTTTCTAATGCATAGTTTATTTTGACTTTTGAAAATATTGATTGTTATGCATCGTTGTACTGTCAATTCAATTTTAGTTTTTAAATTCCTATCGATATTATACAACCATAGGCAAGCAATTGCAATACATTCCCAGTTTGGACTTAAGGCTTGATTGTAAATACGCTAAGACACTAATACATACAGTTAGAGAAGAATATAAGTATTTTCTGGTACTCTTCTTCAGTGACTACTTTGAGATCCTGCTGTCTCTCCCTCATCAAGTCCTGCTTGTCCAACAGCCACTGTTGGCTGCAATACAACACACATGATTAGTCCAGAAAAACATCTATATGTTTCTTACTGGTTAGAGAAAAATTAGTGGTATTGTCATGATTGAAAAAAATATTTAATTGATTTAGATGTACTATGGCTGCATAATGTAAACTATACTGCTGTGGATGTAAGAAATGTTTGTTGAAATGCAGGACACCAGTTCAGACATGGAAAACACTCACAGTTGATAGTAAATTACATAGTTGAATTTGTCCAAACCTGACTTACGTCCGTTTTGCTTAGACATAATGTCCAGATTAGTAATCATTACTGATGGTAAAGGAGGAATTACTTCCCTTGATATATGACAGCTCACTGATGAGAACAGCTTACACGGCAGATTAGGGTGTGTCAACTACATGATAATTTGTCATACAATCCAGAGTAAAGGTTATTTTGTTTGTTTGTTGTTTAATGCCGCACTCAACAATATTCCAGCTATATGACGGAGGTCTATAAATAATCAAGTCTGGACCAGACAATCTAGTTATTGACATCATGAGCATCGATCCACGCTGCTGGGATCGATGACATGCATCAACAAAGTCAGCAAGCCTGACCACCCGATCTCGTTAGTCACCTCTTACGACAAGCATAGTCTCCTTTTACATGGACCTATTCTACACTGGATCTTCACATTAGATTAGTTAAGATTTGACGAAAGATTAAGGTGAGGTGAGGGGTCATCGTGTATCAAAGACGTAAATAGACTTGGACTTATATATCAATGTGCATGCATATATAACATGGGTTGCCCTGTGTGTGTGTGTGTGTGTGTGTTGGGGGGGGGGGGGGGGGGGGGTGTGTTTTGAATGAATGCATGCATGCATGATGAGAGTGTCTGGACTAATATGTGGGTTTTATATTGTTCTTATTATAGACTATAACCTTCTAATCTCTCTCCACAACACCAGAGTAGAGGCAAACAAATCATATTGCAAATTTTGGACAGTAACAACACAGTACTTCCCCTGATAATCAGCCAGATGTTGTTTCTATGGTGTATTGGGTGCAATAGTGAACAACCTCTTTTCCTCTCTGATCTGACAGGTTACAGCATAAATTGTAATGTGTGTGTTTAGAAGCGAACTGCATTCTAGTCATTAACAAATGTCACCATGAAAACACCAAATGGCGACTAGTTAATACATAAATCACAATGACATGGATATGGCGATCATATTCTGACGGGCTTTCACAACACAGGCCTAGCGGTCTGTATGATGTTCGTCTAGGTGGCCTACATCGCGTCATCGGTAAGTGTCATTTGAGACCGTCAAACTGGTACACAACTGGGTTTTGGACAGTATTTAATACTTACTAATGAGAACTTTGCCAGAAGTTTCCTGCCATTTCAGAAATTCAAAGGCTATTAATCTTTCAAATACGATTCTCAAATGTAACTTGGTTTTGATTGTTTTTCTTGCGTTTATGGCTTTATGTGCGCATGCGTAAAGAACTTGCGCCCGGGTTATTGTTTATGTTCAATCCATATATAGTTTAGTATGTTTAATCGCATGTGGATGACAAATAATTCACTTTCCCCTTTTAAACTAGTACTTCAGATGGATATAATGAAGTAAAATTGTACATTGTGAAGAACAAGGACTTCAAACATAATTTTATGTTCTTTATATTTTTCCACAATAAATGCTCCCGAAATGACAAAATTTCCTCTCCTTCTATTCGCGGAGAGCAGCACGTGTACTTTGTTTACGGTGTTACGTAAAACTTATATAAATATGATTCGTAATTTTTTTCAACAAGGTTCAAGAAATAGGTTCGTGTAAAGTTATTTGGTAGACCGGTGGACCTGTCTTCTTACCGTAGTGAACATAAGCCATGGAATTTATGCACTTGTATAAGCATGTCTGAGCCTCATGATGAGGACGGGTTTGACAGTTGTATAACTACGATCATTACACTGTGCGAGAAGGGTCTCCAGTACTTTCTGGCCAGTTGTTCGTGATACACAGTTACTAATTCTATTTTGTTATAAATCTTTTCAGTATTCAGAATATTTTAGTATTTTATTTGTATTTCAGTTCGCCAAATGCACTCTTGATTTCCAAATTATCAACAAACGATGGTGACAGTGTAATATTGACATTAGGAAAGGTAAGAGGTATTGTAAATTATATGAGCTTTGTTCTGAGCGTATTGTACAGAATTCCTCAAATGATTGCTCTTATAAAGGTTTACATTTGGCAGTGATTACTTGCATGTTGTTATTGAACAATTATTACATATTTGTTCTAGTAGAACACCAGTAGAACGAGGATACAACGAACATGGATAGAGGGAACAACGAACTGTTACAAAATCCCAAAATCTTTTATGTTATCATATAAAATGTGTGTATATAACCAACTCTCTACAGCAATCTAACGTATATAGCGAACTGATATCTGATCCCCAACAAGCCCAAATAATAGGGCTGGGACGGGTAACTCGGGTACCCGGGTCGGGTGGGTACGGAGTAGGACCCGGGTACCCACAGAACTGCCCGGACCCGTGGTTAGTCATGTGATATATTGTTTAATGATTAAAAATATGTAGAACTCTATGGTTACACTACAAGTCACTAATGTTCGCATTTCTTTCTGAGTTGGCACCATTGCCTCTGACCTTTATAGGTTTGAATAAACATAACGCTTCAGTCAACTTCAGTGTATGACCAGATCGTTTATACATATATTTAAATACACTCTTTAGACCTGTAGCAGGTACCCTTGTAGGGTCGGGTAATAGTGGGGTGGGTACCTGGGTAGTAAATTTGGACTGGTCCCAGCCCTACCAGATACCACTAATTAGTGACGTGTATAGCAAACTGAGAAGTGTTACAGCGGCGAATCAACACAATCAGCGGTGACGATTCAAACTTGTTGAACTTTCTTTATGTTTATTTTACCTGTAACTGGACTAATCTTGTCTGTAAGACAAACATAAATGATGTTGACGAACATAAATTTCACGAGATGATGTCAAAGTGTCACTTCACTAGCACATGCTATCATGGCGGGCAATGATGCACTTACATGTATTGTGTTTGTTTTATCCAAGATGGCGGACGTTTCCGAGCAAAAACGTATCTAACGAACATTGTATATAACAAACTTATTTCTCTGGTCCCTTGTAGTTCATTATATCCATGTTCTACTGTATTACAGTTTTATATCTGTCATCTGCACTGCAAATTCCAATACAAGGAAGTTTGACTCATTTATATAAGAACATACTTTCAAATACATGAATTGTAGGCCCCACTATTTCTAAGTGTAGTGGCCATAAAATTTCCGAGTCCCATGATGGGATTCGAACCACGGACCTTCTGATCAGAGGTCGGATGCCTTGTCCACATGACCAAAGAGGTTAACCCCGTCAGCAAGCTGACAAGGTAAGGATGTCATCTGTGGGATGACTCCACGCCCTGCTACATAAGCGTATACAAATAATACATGAACATGGTCAGAAAGATGCTCCAACAATACTGTTTTGATGCATAGTGTTCTGTGTGTTTAGCAAAGTACAGTAAACTACGGTTATAACGAATCCAGGGGAACACTAATTTCAGTTCGTTACAACCGTAGTTCGTTAAATTTTTTGTTTTGTTATATCCATCTGTTCGTTATAAGCGTGTTCATTATAAACATAGTTTACTGAATTTCCTGTTCTCAAATCTGAATATTTTCATGTGTTTGCTTGCAGAGACTTCTCCAACCCCGAAGGTGTTTATGTTTAGGGGCGACCTCCGTTGTAGCTTTCCTAGTGCTGAGTAGAGTCCCCAGGGCTGACTCCCCATCCGACAGAGCTCTACACACCTCGGCTGTACATCACCACAGGGAACAGCCTCCACGGCCGGCTGACTCACAACCACAGGCAGACACAAGGTGGGACATCCATTGTGGAGTAGCTGGTAGGGGTATCGCTATAGGCATGCCTCATGTCTCCGTACTCGAGGCACAATACGTGCTGCAATTAAGTCAATTTTTAGATCTATCCCATCTCACACTATGCATTTCTCTTTCTTCTTTCGATCCTAAATGGAAATGTGCCTTAAAGTTTTTAACTTTTAAGAAAACAATCTACTCGAACCCACCTAGCATCACCATGGTCACCTCCGAACAATCTGGGTCATGTATGCTTTTCATGCTGGTCGACCTACACACACTGAACATGTGATTTCCCCAGCCAACTCATTCTCCAACTTGGCATCAACAGATAGTTTCCATAATCTTTTCACGTTTTTAATATAGGTGCTAGGGCTGGGACGAGTCCAAATTTACTACACGGGTACCCACCCCCTATTACACGACCCTACCTGGGTACCCACTGTAGGTCTCAAGAGATGTCTCAAAATGTCCGATTGGGAACATTTTTAGCATAGCCCTGGCAAAAGGTATTTAGATACATGTATTAAACAATCTAGTCATGCATACAGTGAAGTTGAATTAAGTTGTATCTTTATTCAACCATATGAAAAATCAGAAGGAATGGGTGCACAGTCAGAAAGAAATGCGAACATTAGTGACTTGTAGTGTAACCATAGTGTTGTAGATAATTTTTGTCATTAAACAACATATCATGTGACTAACCACGGGTCTGGGTAGTCCTGTGGGTACCCGGGTCCGACTCAGTAGTTACCCGTCCCAGCCCTAATAGATGCTCACATGATTTGATGCCCTTCGCAAAGTAAGACCCGTTTTATCACAATATACATCTTGATCATCGATCAAATCGCCTTGACTGGGCGCCACCATTTTGTTTGAAGCAAATGCGAGTGATATGAGAGGTGGAATCTGATTGGTGAGTAGAAGGGACATAGAAGGGAAATAATTCGTAATAGCCACTGGTGGCACTACGATCGAGCCTGGAAATTCAAGTCTAGTTGGACAAAGGTGGAAACTAGACTTTCACAGTCAGTTAACTCCCTTGCCATGGGAAAGTGATCACAATGGAATGTCTGGAATCCAAGTCCAAGTTGAGGGAATTCTATTGCAACCCCACTGTATCCTCATGAAGAGCCAGTTGTTTCCATGTCAAACATACTGATCTGTCTTCACCTATCAACATTAACAAAGGGTTTTACTGTTGTAGAATTTATTATGAGGACTGACTGTATTTGAGGTAAGAATAAAAAAGCTATGTGCGAAGTTTTGTCAGAATCCACTACTTGGGAAATGCAGGCATTGTCAGTTTATTCAGTGTGTCTATATATTGTTAGGTTTCCCAGGAAATGTGCAGTAGATGTTCTATTCATAAAAGACATTAACAGTTGATCAATTGTATCATAAGATGACTTGATTTTCAGCATTTACATTAGATACTTTACTACAGTAAGGGACCAGTGATTTATTACAGGGTGGGTGGTGGGACGGGATGTCAGAGATTTCTGATGCGCTAATGAATTGGAAATATTGACCCTTGTCATATTTTCAGTTGACCCTCCCCATGTCATTGTACATTTTGTTCATGACCCTCCCTGAAAAGACAAAGTGCAAAAGCACTTTATATTTTATCATTAAATGAATATTTTTTCATGACTCTCCCAAAGTATGTGTATTATTTTTATGATATGCCCCTCCCCTAGAGACTAACGACAGGGAGACATTGTACAGTCATGCCCCGCTTATACGGACTTCAGATATCCGGAAACCTCGGTTCCCGGACGATTTTCATTCAAAACGAAATAATTACTATATAAATTTACCCGTATATCCGGAAATTCAGTTTCCGGAACCGGACGGTTATTTTCATACACAAAACACTGAAATGCACACAAAATTGTCTCACTTATCTGGACAATACACTTCCGCTGGTGGTAATCCTTTGATTTGTGAGAAGTCAATTAACCAAGTGACACTGAGTTACGTTTGAGACGAGCTTGTTTATTGTACATGTAATCCCCTTCGATAAATATGGCGTCTGTGGAGGAAAAGCGCACGTTAAATCTCCTATATCAGTCAGTCAGTCGGTCAGAGGTCAAAGTTGTGGAAGTATGGCCTGTCAACCAGCGAAACGTAAGCGACACGCAGTTACAGTACGCGAAAAAAGGGAAATTTGTCTGATTAAAGAAAAACACACTTCAGCAAGTTTACAAACCATCAGTAAGTATGATGGCACTGAATTTGGTCATACCATAGGAAAATCGACAATTGGTGACAGTTCAAACTTCCATGACAGACTTTCTGAAACGTGTATGAATAAAGATTGAGTGGATGTATCTGTTTGCTCTGTCATCTGTCATGAGTTGCATAATTGAAGAGAAGTAACTCTTCCAGTAAGAAGCTGGTTTCAGTTATACGGAAATTCGTTTATACGGACGAATTGTGAAACGACGCAAGTGTCCGTATAAACGAGGCACGACTGTATATGTCAGCACTAGATTCCAAGACCTGCTTTAAGATCAGGACATATGGCAGGACCCAGTAATACCCCCCATTACTTGGTCAGCATTGTCATATGGGTCAAGATGATTGCAACGAAAAGAGGGAGGATCGGAGAGTTTTGCACCAATGATTTTAGCACCGTGTTGATGCTGTATATCCCATTGCTCAGGAAGCCAGTGATGTCTAAACCAGAGCTCTCGATGAAGCTGAAGCAGGCAAAGGAGGAGGCGCTGTGGGGGATGTTTGTTGCCGATGCCATCGCTATGCCCGTACACTGGTACTACAATGCAGGGGACATCAAGCGAGGATACGGAGGGTGGCTGACAAAGTATGAAGCTCCAAACAAAAAACATCCCTCGAGCATCATGTCGTTGTCAAATATTGGTGAGACTGTGTCTTTATTTATCTTTGTTTTCTCATGTCCAGTTTTTGTCTGTCTTGAAAAAAATACTTTAGACTAAACAAAATAATAGTCTTGGTCCTCAAGAACCACCTGCATCATCATAAAGTAAGCCACACGTTTCGTTTTTATTTCCATTTTGAATTTTTAAAAATCCTAATACTTAAAAAGAATGCGATCCACGCAGTTACTTCCCTTTACATGCACACTGCTTTACTGTGCATCGCATGTTAATGGCGGCAAAAGGAGTTTGTATGCTTGTTTATGTTGGGAAGCCCTTTCCCAGGATGATAGTACACAAACGTTTATTTGGTTACATACTAGTTTGAACAAGCAAAAAAAACACCGCCCACCCGCACTATATTTTCAAAAGTCATGGCCTGAGAACCAATTCTTATATTTCTTTAAGGCTGATATCGTGTTGGAGAATGAAGGCTTGAATGAAAAAATTCAAAAACAGGTTGTCAAGAAATGACTTCTGAGAAATGAATTCTCAACACATGACTTTGGAAGAATTGATTCTAAACACAAGGTTTGTCTGTTGATGTAAAGGAACAGTGAAACATTGTATATCATATTGATATATACTGCCTATACTGTATTCGACGTAATAAGCACCCAGGGCGCTCTCAAAATTAGAAATAGGGGGCTGTTATTAGAATATTATTTTGGTGGAAAGAATCAGAGTTGAAAGATAAATTTCATGGTTTATGCTGACGGTCTGAACTGTTTATATACGACAGATGTATTTTTCCAGAATTTAATTGCCTATAATTAAGGGTGCGTATAACACACGAGTGCGTATTATACACGAATAAATATGTCTTGTGTACATTGATCAATCGGAAGGGATGCTAATTGGGATCGTTCACTTGCCAATATATTAGCAAATATTGCCGTGGGCGCTTATTAGAGCGGGCGCTTATTACGTCGAATACGGTATATGGTTAAAGAATGGTCAAAACAAGCTGCATAATAGGATGTCGTAGTTATTACATAGTAACTGGGCAAGACTCGGAAGTGTTTCAACAACTGTCGTGGGCTGACTGACATGAAGGCATTTAGTTGTTAACATGTGTAGGGGGCACGGGGGGCCTAGTCGTCTAAGGCGCTGCGATTTGCTGTGCAGAGTTGCGTACCTTGGGCACGCCAGAAACCTATGATTGTGGGTTCGAATCCCTGTACGCCCCGATTATGTTTCTAGGTTTGTCAGCACCATACCCGTGCTTGTGAGTTTCATCGAAGTGGCACTTCGGGCTTTCCTCCCACATTAAGCTGACACGCCGTTATATGACTGGAATACTGTTAAAAGCGGCGTTAAACCCATCTCACTCACTGTTAGCATGTGTCAGAATGAATTGGAAGTCAGAACTGAAGTAGCAGACCAGAGCCACATCATGCGATGGCCACATCGTTACTTTGAAATGAACAAAATATGACGAAAGCTGACCTTGACAGAGGTGAAGTGAGGTTAAACATCACTTTTAAGATTATTGCATTTATATATTGACGTGTGTGTGTGTGTGTGTGTGTGTGTGTGGGGGGGGGGGGGGGGGGGGGGGGGGGGTGGGTAGTCAGGACTAATGCCAGTTTTATAGTGCTAGCCCACTCAGATACCATGCCCTGGTTTAACATGGATACTCCACTCAGACTAAGTGTACTGACTCGGAGCCGACCAGTCTTTGTTTCAGCCCCATAATGCCAACCGCCAGGCAGGTTAACAACAAATACCATTTTTAAACCTCTTTTGGTATGATGCTACCAGGGATCAAACCCCAACCTTTCGCTCTCAAGGCAAGTGCTCTATCCACTAGGCCACAATCGACAAGATTAGGATATAAAGATATGTATTACCAAGTCAGTAAGCCTGACCACCCGATCCCGTTAGTCGCCTCTTACAAGCATGGGTTACTGAAGACCTATTTACATAAATCTTCATGAGTTATCATTGATTGGTAGTATCAATATGTTGACTAAAACATATACGATATATCAATATGTAGATTGATAATAAAATTGTATATTCTTGAAATTAATAAATCTAATGCTAAATATGAAGTTGGTTGATCCATTCAGTATTTAGAATTGAATTTTCTGTCATGTCATTGTCCATCTATACCATGATAAGCTTAAAAAATTAAAGAGTTTCAGTGGCGGGGAATTATTATCGTGATATGGGACGACATCTCTACACTCAGGGCTGTTGCATACATTGGTAGAGTTGCCGACCAAATTGGCAATTTCTGACGTTTATACAGTTCAGCCCTCTCTCTATGAAGGTGCATACTCCAATGAACTCACAGACGTCGGTTCTTAAGTAATTAATCTAAGCCTATTTGTCATTTTACCTAATACCCTTGAAAATGAGTGAGTGAGTTAGTATGGTTTAACACTGCTCTAAGCAATATTCCAGCAATATCAAGGCAGGGGACACCAGAAATGGGCTTCACACATTGTACCCTTGTGGGAAATTGAACCCGGATCTTTGGTGTGACGAGCGAACGCTACCCAACCGCCCCTTGAAAATGTTGAGTCTGTGTCAGAAATATGGCAAGCTACTACACAGTGCTATAGACATGGAGGGTCACTTGTGTTTTAGTTTATCAACAACATGTATACCTTCTGTTCATCAGGCGGCAGCGGACGAGGGGGTGACAAGGTCAAGGCTGTGATAGGCGATGTCATCCTCCATGGCAAGCTGAAGTACTGGTCGGGCAACAACCACTCCACACACTATCACCAAGGTGAGACATGTACTCCTTTCCTTCCAACTGAGGTCGGAGGCTTGGTTGCCACAGTCGTCTAAAGCACTACTGTTCACTGTGCAGAGTTGCTTCCCTTGGGCATGCAGAAACCTTTGATTGTGGGTTCGAATCCTGGTTCGCCCTGAATATGTTTCTAGGTTTTGTGTGTTTCACCAAAGTGATAAACGTCTGAGACCTGCATGACTTAGGGCTTTCCTCCCACATTAAGCTGACAATATGTGATATACCATATTCGACGTAATAAGCGCCAGGGTGCTCTCAAAACTAGAAATAGGGGCCTCTTATTAGAATATAATTTTGGTGAGAAAAAAACAGTTGAAAGATTGTAAATTTTGTGGTTCATGCTGACAGCCTGAAATGATACAAAAGAAGAATCTGTGTGTATTATACACGATAGATATATTTTCGAGAATTTAATTGCCCATAATTACCCCTGCATATAACACATGAGTGCGTATTATACACGAATAAATAAGTCTTGTGTACATTGATCAATCAGAAAGGGTGCTAATTGGGATTGTTCACTAGCCAATATATTAGCAAATATTGCCCTGGGCGCTTTTTAGAGCGGAGTGTTTATTACGTCGAATACAGTAACTGGAATACTGTTCAAAGCAATGTTAAACCCAACTCCAACTGATGTTAATATCTAGGTAGCTAAAGGGAACTATTGCCAGGGATTAATTTATTGAGGGGATGTTTGTGATTTGGCAGGTTTTGTTCAGTAATCATGTAATATGTCACCAAATTGTGACTAAATAGTTTTTCCAAATGTATGAATGCTTAGAAAGCACCCTCTCCCTCCGAAAGACGCACAAATCCTTTCTGGATCTGCACATGTTAACTCCTTGTAGGTATGAATGCCGGAGACAACACATTGAACGCCCTCATGGCGCTGGAGATGATGAAGACGTTTGAGAGAGTTGATCATGACGTCGTGAGGGAGGACCGAGACGTGCGCAGTGAGGTGCTGGAGGCCTACGTCAAGTTCATGACCACGCCGGGGTCTCACGGAGACACGTACGCCGAGTCTTTCCATAGGTCTTTCTTCAAGGATTGGTCCTCATTGTCAAGTCCGCCTGAGACAGCTGATGATCTCATTGAGTATACAGAACAAAGGTACAAAGGGGTATTATGCACACTTGTTTCCAAAATTACAACTGAGCTAAAGGGAGTGTGTATTATACACATAGAGAATGAATTTTGATAGTCAAATCGGTGGTACACCAGTTAGCATGTCAGCAGATCCATAGTGAAGTGCACCAGTTAGCACTATCATGTTGTAATAAAAGTGTTTATTGTAAGGCTTAAAAAATAAAATAATTGGTTCACAGGCAATCACTTTTGAAAATATAGGGCAGGCAGGCGGTGGCTTTTTTTTTCCTGCTCAAACTAGTGTATAACCAAATAAACAGTTGTGTACCATCAACATGGGAAAGGGCCTCCCTACATAAACAAGCATACAAACTCATATTGCCATCATGACCATAACACGAGATGCACAGTAAAGCAGTGTGCATGTAAAGGGAAGTAACTGCGTGCTATATTGGATCACATTGTTTTTAAGTATTAGGATTTGGGGTGGGGGGGGGGGAGAGAGTTGGAAATAAAAACAAATCGTGTGGCAGTCGTTATGAGAACTGGAGCCTATTGTTTCTTTTTAATTAATTCTGTATGTTTAATCCATTTCAGTCCTTTTGTAAAGAAAAGAAATCCAGTAGTGTGTATAATCATCAGAGTACCACTATTATTGCTCAAGCTTTGAAACTTTAGTTCAAGACTCCTTGCAAGCTAGGTACAACTATTGCAAAAATATTGTGATAGTGTCCTTAGACAACCATGTTATTTAACATGACGATGAAGCCTAAGACGTCTTAGATTCAGCAAGGAATATTGTTAGGTGGTTTAGGGGTATTTCTGATAAGTTCTGTTAGGAATTCATGAATGCTTTTTTTTTTAAATATACACATATCTCTTCAAGTTGGTTGGTTGGTTGGTTTGTTGTTTAACGCCGCACTCAGCAATATTCCAGCTATATGAGGGCGGTCTGTAAATAATTGAGTCTGGACCAGACAATCCAGTGATTAATATCATGAGCATCGATCCAGGCAATTGGGATGGATGACATTCATCAACCAAGTCCGCAAGCCTGACCACCCGATCCCATTAGTCGCCTCTTGCGACAAGAATATATCTCTTCAAGCCAAGTGTATTTTGGATCAGTTAATGAATAACAGTATTTTGTCGATTTTGTTATGTCAAACCATGCTCTCCATGGTGTATGGTGGCACTGATAATAATCTTGATATTTTAACTTGGCATCAATGTATTGCTATAAAGCAATGGGCAAACAATGCATCAATAATTGGATCAATCGTTTTGGTCTTGGTTCACCATGTAACCAGAAACTGTATATAGGACGACCCTTTGAATATTACCTTAAATCTAATACCTCAAGGATAAACTGACAGCCCTAGGTACTGAATATTGTATATTTAAAATAGTCATTGAGCAATACCTCAGAAATGAGGGGTTAGCTTATCATCAATGGAACTGACGCCCTATCTGTATTAAAGGTCGATTTATCAAGCATTACATGTTCTTTAATCTCAGATACAAACAAAAGACAAAGGGATCTCCAGACTCTCAGCTGGTTGTGATTGGTGCGTTAGTACCCACAATTCCCTGGGTGTTGAGGAGCGCACACAAGACAGAGACAGAGTGTGCTAAGTCTGCGGTAGACTTCATCAAGCTGACCCACCCAGTGACTGCCCTGGTGCCCTACGTGGACATGTACGCCCGGCTGCTGCATGCCGTGCTCAACGGACACGATCTGAAGGCGGAGGCTGTGAAACTGCTCAGTCACTCAGAGCTGGGTGGGCCATCGAAGAGGGATCTGGTTCTGAAGATGCTGGAACAGGCCCATGGGTAGGTGAAGGGAGGCTTTGTGGACAACCATTTCTATCTGTACTAGCCTCTACATTGCGGCTGGTCCTGTGTGAAGAATGTGGTGTAGAATTGGTCTTCAGCGATCCATGCTTGTTGTAAGAGGCGACTAATGGGATCGGGCAGTCAGGCTCTCTGACATGGTTGATGCATGTCATCGATCCCAATTGTGTGGATCGATGCTCATGATGCCAATCACTGGATTGTCTGGTCCAGACTCGATTATTTACAGACCGCCGTCATATAGCTGGAATATTGCTGAGTGTGGCGTTAAACAACAAACCAACCAACCAACCAAGTTATGAGGTTGATGTTTTGGCACTATTTTCAAAGAATTTCAGGAAACACTGTGGCCCAAACACAGACAGCCATGAAAACACCACCCAATCTGTGGCTTATGCATGTGCAAAGGGACAGTTCTTTGAAAGTGTTTACGACAACCAAGCTGCTCTGACAGCGGTGATATAAGTAATTCAGAATAACCAATGAGTGACAAGGAATTACCGATTGTCTGTCCTGAGTGAACTAATTCTGTCAGTTCCGAGCCTTAGCGACAATGGTTCAGATGTCGTCACGTTGCTATGGGCCTGCTCACAAACTATGAAAAGAATGGAACAATTGGAAGGAAAGAGAGCAAATCCGCCTGAAGCAAAAAATATATTTTTCAGTAAGAATTATTAAAATATATTCGCCTGTATCAGTGCCCCTTTGGTACTCTACTGATGTTTCATTCTTCAGATCTCCCAAAGGGTCCGAGGAGCGTCTCCGCGCCTACCAGTCTGCCGTGTCTAACCTGGGCCTGGCCTGCTACATAGAGGGCGCTATCAGCTCACTCCTCTACCTGGCCGTGGAGTTCAGTGATGACTTCGAGGGTGGAGTTCTGGCAAACGCTAATGTTGGAGGTAGGTGGCCATACTGACAACTGGATGTGTATGATACAATCAGACACCCAATTATTTGGTTCTTGTTTGGACCGTGAGGGAGCTGTTCAAAAAGTAGGATAAAAACCTGAATACTTGTGAATGAGGTTTGTAGTGTGCATGTTTCAGGTGAGATCTGTGAATCTTTCAGGTGAGAACTGTGTGTTTCAGGTGAGAACTGTGTGTTTCGGATGAGAACAGTGTGTTTCAGGTGAGAACTGTACATGTTTCAGGTGAGAACTGTGCATGTTTCAGGTGAGAAGTGTGTATGTTTCAGGTGAGAACTGTGTGTTTCAGGTGAGAACTGTGTGTTTCAGGTGAGAACTGTGAAGTTTCAGGTGAGAAGTGTGTATGTTTCAGGTGAGAACTGTGAATGTTTCAGGTGAGAACTGTGTTTCAGGTGAGAACTGTGTGTTTCAGGTGAGAACTGTGCATGTTTCAAGTGAGAACTGCATGTTTCAAGTGAGAAGTGTGTATGTTTCAGGTGAGAACGGTGAATGTTTCATGTGAGAAGTGTGTATGTTTCAGGTGAGAACTGTGAATGTTTCAGGTGAGAACTGTGTGTTTCAGGTGAGAACTGTGTGTTTCAGGTGAGAACTGCATGTTTCAGATGAGAACTGTGTGTTTCAGGTGAGAACTGTACATGTTTCAGGTGAGAACTGTGCATGTTTCAGGTGAAAACTGTGCATGTTTCAGGTGAGAACTGTGAATGTTTCAGGTGAGAACTGTGCATGTTTCAGTTGAGAACTGCAAATGTTTCGGGTGAGAACTGCAAATGTTTCGGGTGAGAACTGCAAATGTTTCGGGTGAGAACTGCAAATGTTTCAGGTGAGAACTGCAAATGTTTCAGGTGAGAACTGTCACCGAGGAGCTGCGCTGGGAGCGTTGCTGGGAGCTGCAGCTGCAGCTCAGGGGAAGACAATCGCCCAGAAATGGAAGGATGGACTGGGAACAGCTCAGAAAGGCCTCAAGACTGTTGTCTCACAAATGAACAAAGATTGAAAACACTTTTAAAAATGAAATGTACTTCCTCTTGTTCAGTGCTATGTTGGAAGATCTGCAGCATTTGGTCATGTGCTTGTGATTGACTGATAGTTGGTGCAGTATTTCATTCTAGCGAATATTGGATACTCTCAATTAGATTTTCATCCCAATGTTTGGCGTGGGGCATTTTATGTTTACTATTGTACAAAATATAATTGGTACATGTGTAGTAGGTAGTGGGGTCAAAAGGGGCGGTCGGGTAGCCTAGTGGTTAAAGCGTTCGCCCGTCACGCCGAAGACCCGGTTCGATTCCCGTCATGGGTACAATGTGTGAAGCCCATTTCTGGTGTCCCCCGCGGTGATATTGCTGGAATATTGCTAAAAGCAGAATAAAACCTTACTCACTCACTCACTCACTAGTGGGGTCAACACATAGGTTCTGTTGTTTTCACATTTTGCCCTTGGTTGGACCTTTGCACTTTGAACCATGCCCATAAATTCTCTCAAAATGCATTTCCTCTCATCTCCTCAGAAACCACACCAACTAAAGCTGAAACTTCACATGCTCGTTTCCACAAATGAGGACCCCCAATTTGTTCCAGAGTTTTGAGGGGCGGTGGGGTAGTCGCTCCTCATGCCGAGGACCCAGTTCGCTTCCGAACATGGGTACAAAGTGTGAAGCCCATGTCTCGTGTTCCCCGCCGTGATATTGCTGGAATATTGCTATAAGCGGCGTGAAACCATACTCACTCAATCAAGAGTTTTGAAGCTGATCATCACCATGGCAGCTTATTGAAATACCTATTTATGGCCACTGATCAACCATTACTGTTCTATATGTACAGTAAATGCTCTGAAACTCTCACAAAATGCAGTTTAGATTCTGTAAACATTTTGTCTCAAATTGCCGGACTCAGGAAACTACTTTGACATATATTGTTCTCCTTTCAGATGACATCATATTTAGTTCAAATCATTCAATTTTACTGTGTTTTTGGTGAAACAATTGTAAAAATTGTATGGCAGTTGAAGAATAATTCTACTAAAAAGGATTAAGGACATGATGAAGCTCCAACTTTGTGTATCGTAAATTGAACTGATGCGTATTACAACAATGTTCCACTATAGTATGTTTATTCTTGTATACATATTTAAGGGGTGGTGGGGTAGCCTAGTGGTAAAAGCATTCGCTCGTCACACAGAAGACTAGGGTTCGATTCCCCACATGGGTACAATGTGTGAAGCCCATTTCTGGTGTTACCCATGTGATATTGCTGGAATGTTGTGACGAAAAACCATACTTACTCACTCTTGTATATTTAGAAACACTGTGGAGCTTAAGGTACTTGTATTATGATTGTTAATGTTTTTGTCCTAAGTATTTATGCTGAAAGCAGCTATAGTATTCTCACAATAGTATTGTCATTATGTCAAGGGTAATGCTATTTTTCAGGGCATTATCATTTGCAGAAGCCCAAGGTTTTCCATTAACTGCCTGACGAATGAGGTCAGTTGAAAAGACAGAGGGCTTCTGTAAATGATAATGCCCTGAAAAATAGCATTACCATTATTATAGCTAAAATGGATAGAATTTATTATCAAATAAAAATAAACAACAACATCGGTTTTGAAACATTTACTGCAATCAACACACAACGATTGTCACTGACCCACTTTTACAAATATGAAAACGTCATAGAACAAACCAGATGATGTCACAACTGAACATCAATATGACGGTAGGTCAAACTACTCATTACAAGTATTATTGTAGTGTAACAATAGTACGATAGTCATGATGCTTGTTATTTTATCACCAGCATGCAAGGCAGCAGGTGTGTGTATCTCCTTATTCCCAGACCAACTGGATGGTATTAATGCAGGTCTCAAGGAAAATAGCTGTAAAATTCTCTATTTCTCCAGACAGTACTCAATATAAAATTGTTCGAAAGAACTGGTTCAGAATTAGCTGAATGAAAAATAATTGAGTCAACACTAGGCGACCGCCTCCGTGGTCCAGTGGTAGAGCGTCCGCCCGGAGAGCGGAAGGTCCGGGGTTCGATCCCCGGCCGCGCCATACCAAAAGCATTAAAAGATGGTACTTGTTGTTACCCTGTCTGGCGCTCGGCATTAAAGGGCTAAAACAAGGACTGGTCGGCTTGGAGTCAGTATACTGTGTCTGAGTGGGGTATGGTATCTCAGTGTGCTAGCACTATAAATCGGCATCAGTCCGGACTAGAACAAGCAGCCACACAAACACACACACATGCATGCACGTCGCTATATAAGTGCAATAATCTGGGACGCGACATTAAACCCCATTTCACCTAACACCCCAATACTAGGCAAGTAATAATTCAAGATTTCTGGGGGGGCCAGATCTGGACAGTGAGCCTACTCTCTCGACTAACATTTAGCCCCAGAAATAAAGTGATCTTGTTTAAAATTATTCGTCTGGGTGCTGTTGTACAAAGCGATCTTAGCACTAGGATGATCGTAACTTTCATACCTTAACACATACCTTAATACTCTTAGCTAAGGTTGTTTTGTACACCAGCACCCAACAAAATAAAATCCAAGTGGAGCCCAGAACAATCCCTAATTTCAGGCTTGACCTGAGGCAATCTAGACTTGCCAAATCATTCTGGTGTTGTATTGAATTCATTTTCTATTCAAGACCAGTTTCCGTATGTACTTGTCTTAGATCTGAGACTTGCTGAAGCATAATCCTATCTAAAAAAAATCAGATCTTTTACTATCAATACCTATGAATCCGATCAGAGTGATCAATATGATTTTGATGAGATTTCACTATTATCTTGTAACATGAGAATAAGAAATTGTCAAATAGAACTGTTTGACTAGAGTGTATATTTTTATGTGATTACCAGGTATTTGTTCAACGCACACTGTGTCCGACTGATTATTTATTGGGGAATTTAGAAATGTCAGTTATTATGTCTCCTCAGGTATGTGAGCAATTCAAATGTGTCATTTGACCTTGGCCTTGACCTTGAAAAAAATTAGCCAACGAAACAAAATGCAGGTTGTTTTCATGATGTATGTCATAAACTTTGATATTATGTACCACTGTGCTTTCATTATGTAGAGTTCGAACCCAATCTCAATTAAAATCAGATCTTAGTTCTCGCTACCGCTAAACATCCCATTACATCCCATTACGGGTCACGTCAGAACGACCTTTCATCTGACCAGATCAGGAAAGTTACAATCAGAATGTGTTTTCTAATGACAGTTACGGGGTGTATGAGTAATCATAGTCTATTTTGCTTCAATGAGATAAACATTTGAAACGGAAGACACTTTCCATAGCCCGTGATAAGTACTGTCATACGAATTCGACCTTCTATTCCAAAACTTTCTTGTGTAGTCTAGAATTTAAGTTGACGGTTTGAAATTTGTGACACAAAGCTCGAGAAAGTTGCTTTCTGATTGGATAATGTTGACTTCTTGTCAGTTAATTTAATGGTCGTCAAAAGTTCACGAAATGTCGTTCTGAGATGACTAGTAATAGATGTCCTCAGATCTACGTGTACCAGTAGAGCACAAAGATCAGATTTTAAGGAGATTGAGTGGAAACCCATCTGTGTGTCACTGACCTGTGTGTAGGATGTGGCCATGCAGGCATCATAATATATTTACGACAGTGATATCATCGCTGTCACATTCTATATAATCTGTTTCTTGTTACCTTATAGCTGTCCTTTACTGTTTGTGAACATGAGGCGGCCCAGCGCTGGAATCCCCTGTGCAGAGTTGTGCCCCTTAGGTGTGCCAGAAGCCTACAATTGAGGGTCGAATCCAAGTTCTCCCTTGTTGTTTCTAGGTTTGTCAGCACCGTACCCAAGCTTGCAGGTTTCACTGATGTGGTGAACGTCTGAGACCTGCATTGTTGGGCTTCCTCTTACAGTAAGCTGATTGCAGTGTATGACTGAAACACTGCTCAATCAAACACAACCAACTCACTCTCTCTGAATAGGATGCTGATTGTGTTATTAATGTCGCCATGAAAACGGGTTGTCATAACAACACTATTCTACGTTTATGAAATTGCAGGTTTTAAGAACCGGACCATGTAAAAATCAGAAGGCCATGTTTATTTGTATTGTGTTTTGGTCATACAAGTTGTACATTAAAATATATAAAAATTGTAAACCTTTTCATTGTGTGGCAATCCAAATATATATTTTCTTTCACTATGAGTACATTTTAGCAATATACAGTTTGGCTGTGCTTGTGACAGTCTTGGGATTAGGTCATAAACCTCCAGTGACATCTTCCCATTGTTCTATTCAGGGTTTTCACCTTTCAGCAAGTACTCAAGTTGTAAGCCAGGAGTGACTTTGTGTGAGAGTGAGTTTGGTTTAAGGCCGTTTTAACAGTATTCCAGTTATATAACGGCGTGTCAGCTTATGTGGGAGGAAAGCCCGAAGTGATGCAGGTCTCAGTCGTTTACCACTTCGGTGAAACCCATGAGCACGGGTATGGTGCTGACAAACCTAGAAACATAATCAGTGCGAACTGGGATTCGAACCCACGATTATAGGTTTCTGGTGTGCCCAAGGGACACAACTCTGCACAGCGTATCGCAGCGCCTTGGACGACTGGGCCATCCGTGCTCCCTGGAGTGACTTTGAATATATACATAGGGAGGTCTTCCTTCAAATATGGTGAATTGTTTCATGTAGTAGTGGTTCCAATCTGTCCACACCTCTCATGGATACTATGCATCTGTGTTTTGTGTATTTCATGAAACAATAAATATTCAAGGAAGTCATATTTTGTCATTAATTCTGTCCACATGAGTGAATTCTGATCAGAGTGGATCCCAAGAACCTCATGCTGGGTCTCAGATCTCGCCAAACTTATGGAAGGCTCTTTGTGTGCGACCTATAGTGATCTTCTTTCCACCCAAACTAGATAGTTGTATTGTTGTCAATTATAGTCCATTTGGCTCAAAATGAGGACGAAGAATGGCAAATTACCTCAAAATCAGGATTAATCTATTAAATTGCAAAAAAGGTTCATGGTACCCTGTACCCAACAATCTCTGCTGTTTGTTATTTGTATTCCCATCACTGGAGTTGTTTGTGTCGTGTACAAGTTGATATTTTGAGTGAGTGAGTGAGTGAGTGAGTATGGTTTTACGCCGCTTTTAGCAATATTCCAGCAATATCACGGCGGGGGACACCAGAAATGGGCTTCACACATTGTGCCCATGTCGGGAATCGAACCCGGGTATTGCGCGTGACGAGCGAACGCTTTAACCACTAGGCTACCCGACCGCCCCTAGTTGATATCTTGAACAGAGGGGGCACAACGGTAGAAGGAACAGTGCACGGCCGAATTGCAGGTGCTACATAGTTTACGTCGTTGACTGATGAAATGCGCTACACAGCTGTGAAACAGTTGATTTGTAAAGTGTATGATTACTTTCAATGCGAAGCAGAAAGAGGAAATCCAGTGAGGTGTCTGAACCCACCACCAGCCAATCCAGACAGTGATGTCCGAACCGTCTACCACTTGGCTGAAATACAAGAGCACAGGTACGGTGCTGACAAACCTAAAAACGTAATTGTTTGTTTGTTGTTTACCACCTCATTCAGCAATATTCCAGCTATATGATGGCCAAAAAAACCAATTGGGGCAAAACGGGTTTCAAACCCACAATCATAGGTTCCTGCCATGCCCAAGGGACACAACTCTGCAAAGCAAATTTTGACGCCTTAGATGCCTGGGCCGCCAATGCCCCGCTAATCCTGACAGTGAACTGTCATTTGAAAAAATACAATGACTATTTTATTCATGATGATTTATTTACAAAATATGTTTTACAAAATAAAATGAAGCAATGCTAAGATGACAGAAATGCAGAATAAATGCCCATCATACCACTATCACAACGTTCGTAACCACATTGTGTTTCATCCATGTGTGGAGGCTCATAACCAACCATGACTGATGTACTTCGAACTATTGGATTGGGAATGTTCAATGCATCTAAATTACAAAACACCTTAAGTCATCAATTACCATGCAGCCTTGCAGGTTTATCTTGTAATAAAACATTTCATAGTCTCTTGAAGCTGTTGTTGAACTAATAAATTATTTTGTCTTACAAATATTTTGACGGTTATACACCACCTATGAAATAGAGTAACAATTCTGTCACTTGTGACAATGTAACAGTTCTACCAATAATCTGTTAGTCCTTCAAAATTTCATGTCTTTGGTAAAAACTTTAACACAAACAAATATATCCTATATAGGTAGTTCTTAACCAGATAAAAACAAGACTTGCTCTCAATCTCCGTGGACAGCATACCTCAGTTCTCACAATGACAGAAGAGTACTGTACCCAACAGCAAGGATTGAGACGAGAGTTACAGTGAGACCATCACCATCACCAACAAATGCTGAATTTCATTCATCAATGACACTACAGTATTCCAGGAATGTTCTCCATCTGAATCAAAACAGCAAGTAGTTCTTTTCACATGAAGGAAAATATTAGGCCATTATATTTTATTAGTTGGTTTACAACATTTTTGGCCTAAAATTTGATGAAAGCTGTTGGGCAAAAGATAAAAGAATAATAATTTTCAACTTCCAGATTAGAGCTGTTACAATGAATAAAAGCAAACAAGATTTAACATGGCAAGACACCTAAATATAATTGATTTCATTTTGGGGGATTAGAATATAGATTTTCATATGCATTATTCACCGTTTCTTAGGAACAGCGGTGCCATTTTGGGGGGTCATTCCTCGTAATTGTAAAAAAGTCAAATAAAAATGGGTTTTCATTTTTCTTCTTATTTCAGACCAGCTTTGTCAACCAACTAAAAGAAATATACAAGGCACCAGTTGCCCCACATGCCTGAATTTAGTGGAGCAATCTATCCCACATGATGAACATACTGTTTGACTTCAGCCAAGTAGCACATTCTTAGCTTCCATAATTTGCACCATGCTCTGGTGAGTATAGCAAGGTATTTCCCCTGTAAGTATTCAATAACAACTGTACAACTCTGTATCCTACACACACATGAAGCCAGTGAATTATCCTAATTAGGATCGGTGATAAGACACTACCAGAAGTGTATCTTGTTTTTGAAACGCCAAAAACAAATCTATCCAAATAAATAGGATATTATATGTGTTCATGTCATACTATGTTTACGACACTAGTCTCATTTCTGAAATGTTCCAACATCAAAAGAGATCTATCCAAATAATGCTCTATCTCGGATTAATTTCTTGATCATACATTGATGGCTTCAACAATCACTAGGATCAACACTCAAACCAACTCACCTCCATACTTGATGTCAATCTCTATTTATCACCTGTGTGAGTTCTAAACTAAACAAAAGTTAACTAAAGGTTTGATAAATGCATTATCCTGATAATTGCACTGAGTTTTCGGTGCTTATTGTCAATACTTAATGTTTGGGTAAATCCATCCTTCCAATAAACTAAAACATAGTCTGTATGATACATACACAACATGTCGGTATCCAAGATCTCTAATCAAACAAACCATAAATGCTCAACTTTGTATACATCTGTTAAAAACACTATCTTAATTAAAAAACAAGACCTTGCATACCAAATAATGCCTTGTAATGTATTTTCAGAGTGTTCATATTCTTCAAAACACGGAAGATGTTCAAAATCTGCCACGATATATTGAGGTATATCCGACTTGTACAACAGAACAAAACCAAAAGAAAGACGGAATATAAAGGTTGATGCAACAGAAGGAATGAACTGATAATTTTGTATAAAAGACGCACTGGGGCTAGGGGCTTGTTGTATCTTCCCTGAATAGTTGCAGTTATTTACACAAACAAGCTTCTCCATCACTTCGTCCACACATGAAACCATGTCGTCTTCAAGCTGGAATTGTTGAGGTTGCAGTTTCTTGCCATTCCACACATCCTGTACCACGGCTCTTGTATATCCTATACAATGTAGGATACATCTCGTATATACTGTGTGGTATCTGTCGTATACCCTCCTGATGGGAACAATGTGCTAAATGATTTAATCCGAGTCAGATTCCTGCTTCTTTTGTTTCTTCTTCTTTTTCTTCTTCTTCTCTGATGAAGGCTGGAACAGAAATGACAGAGTGCTACATGTCACAAAACTAGGGCAGCGATACAGTGCAGAAACAATCACCCCCGAAAAGAACGGATTTCCAGGAATTCCTCTCACCTAAACTAAACCAATTTCGACACTGACTTGCCACTACACAGAACTACGACTGTTCCGTAATGTTTACCTAATAGATTCCCAATGTGAAACATACATCATTAACAACCCTGCCATAACGATAGTGAGTATGGTTTTATGCGCTTTTAGCAATATTCCACACTTCACACATTGTACTCATTTTGGGATTCGAACCGATTCGAACCGGGGTCTTCAGCATGACAAGCAAATGCTTTAACCACTAGGCTCCCATAACATACATGAATCCCATCACAAAAATACTGCATATAAAGGGGATCTATAAGCAACACACGATGGAACAGCCAGTAGCTCTGTGTAGCGACAAGTCTGCGTCTGCACATAAACGTTTATATACTGGGAGCAGCAGTCACGGCTGTGTGAAAACCACCCTGACACATCGTTGAGATGCACCAAATCTTTGGTAAATTCCAACAGCACCAAATACAACCAATAAATGTTTCCAACAAACGTTTTCAACAAATGTATTCCAATAAGCCATCTACCAATCTGTCTTGTGTGAATATTCACTCCAACGTTGAATCACTCAGTCGATGTCTGATTATTCAGATCACCTTGGAGATGTGGTCACACAAGTAGTTTACAGCATAGATTCTCAAGAACTCAAGGACCCACATTTATTTTGAGAACTGCAATGAATTTAGCTTTGATCCCACCTGAATTGCTGCTCAGTTTGTTGTTTAACGCCGCACTCAGCATTATTCCAGCTATATGACGGTGGTCTGTAAATAATCAAGTCTGGACCAGACAATCCAGTGATTGACAACATGAGCCTCAATCCATGCAATTGGGATCGATGAAGTGCATCAACCTAGTCAGTGAGCCTGACCACCCGATCTTGTTAGTCGCCTCTTATGACAAGTATAGTTGCCTTTTACGGCAAGTATGGGTTGCTGAAGACCTATTCTACCCCGGATCTTCACAGGTCTGCTGCTTGGTGCAAGACTTACCTCCTCAACTTCCTCTTGCTTCTTGTCTTTCTTCTTCTTCTTCTTTTTCTTCTTCTCACCACTTTCTGGTGACTGAGATTTTGCTGGCGTGGCCACTTCCTCATCGGAGCTGCTGCTGCTGGTGACATCGTGCTTCCTCTGCACATGAATCACAAAGTTAGCGAGATGCGTGTGTACTGCCACTTTGAACATTAGTTCAAGTCAGCTGAGGTGAAAAGGTGTTTATGTTGTGTTCAAGATTATTGCACTTATATAGCAACGTGCATGCACCTGTGTGTGGCTGCTTGTACTAGCCTGGACTAATGCTGATTTTATAGTGCTAGCCCACTGAAATACCATGCGGCAGTTAATCATAAATACCCCACTCAGACACAGCATACTGACTCCAAACTGACAGACCTTGTTTTAGCCCCTTAACGCCGAGCGCCAAACAGGGTAACAACAAGTACCATCTTTTAACGTCTTTTGGTATAAACACGGGCGGGGATTGAACCCCTCCACACAGCATACTGACTCTGAACAGACCAGATGTTGTTTTAGCCCCTTAGTGCCGAGCGCAAGGCAGAGTAACCATAATTATCATCATTTAACATCTTTTGGTATGACGTGGCCAGGGTTTGAACCCCACGACCATCTCTCAGGATACACGCTCTACCACTAGACCTCGACAGCAGTCATTTTAAGCAAGACACATCACACCAAATCTCCAACTCAAAGAGCCGACACTTAAATCGGTAGGCTACCAAACCTCCAATGATGAACGTTAGATGAAATATAGAGATGGAACGCACCTTTGGGGCTTTTGCTGGTGTTGAGTCGGGGGCATCTCCTGAGCCGTTTGAGGTTTCTTCCTTCTTAACACTGAAATCAGATCAAGTCCATATTTATTACCATCATTATTAAAAAGTACAATGGCAAATAAATCTGGAATAACAAGGAAACATTGGGTTTCATTTATTTGACAAACCAAGATATATCAGAACATAATTCAGTATAATTATAACTTACACTTCCTAGCTCTACAATAATGGCTGCGAAATTGCATCGTCCTGAGGCAGGGGAGTTAGCTGACTGTAAGAGTCCATTTTCCACCCTTGTCGAACAAGGCTGGTATTATGGAGCTTTAGTTTGGCTGGACTAACGAGTGTATACATAGTCCAATCAAACACCCGCAACAAAATCCACATCCGGTTCTTAAACTACATGGCAACCGTCGTGCCAAATTTCGTTCGTTTACAGGATTTGCAGAGCATGTGTACTGTCAACTGATGTGAGGACAAATTGTAACCATGTGGGATACTGAATCATGTACTACTCAAGATGAGCAAACACTTTAACCACTAGACTACCTCACCACCCTGCAGTACAGCCAACAAGTTCAACAAGTTCACCAAGTACAAGACATGTTCCACTCACTTGAAATCTACATATGACTTGGACCAATCCTTGGGCGTCTTCTCATTTGGTTTACCGAACTTATCTAGTTTGCCATCTAAAATCATTTTCTTCTTTTGGGAGGCCTGAAAAAGAGGACAGATTTTAACTATGATCAACCAGCATCAATTACAGGCACCATTGTTTGTTTGTTGTTTAACGCCACACTCAGCAATATTCCAGCTATATGACGGCGGTCTGTAAAATAATCGAGTCTGGACCAGACAATCCAGTGATTGACATCACGAGCATCAATCCACGCAATTGGGATACAAAGACATGCATCAACCAAGTCAGCGAGCCTGACCAGCCAATCCCATTAGTCGCCTCCTTCAACAAGCATAGTCGCCTTTTACGGCAAAGGGTTGCTGATGACCTATTCTACCCTGGATCTTCACGGGTCTCACGAACATGTCCTGCTAGCCACAATTGGTATTTAACATAAAGTACATACAATCCACTGACCATTTAATTACCGGTACTTGTAGAATCCGAAGCAGACTCGTCATAGATGTCTAAGATTGCTGAAGCAATGTTACGCAATTTACCATTCACCCATGCCGCAACATTCCAGCAAAATGACGATCGGGACATCAGAACTGCGCTTCACATAGTGTTCCCATGTAGGGAATCGAAACCAGTCCTTCGGTGTGATTGATGAGGAAACGTTTAACCACTAGGCTACCCCACCGTCCCCCACTTATAAGCAGTCAAACTATACGAGTGTAAACAGTGAGAAAATCCCTGTCCACACCCCATCCCAGGAGTCACTTATGTTTTTTGCCGAGACCCTCCTGACTCTGCACTACCCACCTTTGGCCCCAAGCCCCACTTGCGAGGGTACGTGTCCCTCTCCATGATAACCCGCTTGATCTTGGCCACAACGTTGTGGTCACATGTGGATATCACTGCAGTCGTCATTTGAGCAATGGCTGGAAAGATCAATGACATACATTTAATTCTTTCTTGCTATCAGTTCGATTTTAATGGAACTGTCAAAGCCCCATAAGCTGTGAGCTTGGAGGTGGTGGGAAACTGACCATCTAATTATTCAATCATGTCTGACAAAATCAAAAGTATTTCTTCATTACCAAGGAAAACTTTACTTTTAATTTCTGATTTTGATAAACCTGAAAAAAAATATGCAGAGATGCCAACCCTAATTAATTTGGGGAGGACAAGCGTAATAGCATAATTTTCAGCTCAAGATAGTAATGGCTGGTATCTCTGTAAGATGATTAGCAAATACACGTCCGCAGTTGATTATTGACAATCTGGCTCAACACAGAAGAACATTTTCATGACACACCCAGGCACTCCAAAAAGAAAGAAAAAACAATTTTATACTCTACGTAACTTGACACCAGAAATGGAAACTTTTGACCCATGTGGGGAATTAAACCCAGAAATGAGAGTACACTTTAATCACAAGGCTACTCCACCACCCTGTTCAAGACGAAGAACAGGCTACACACACACCTAAAGCTACGGCCTCTCCTTTAGTTGTGATGATGACGATCTCGTCATTGACTTCAATACCATCGTCGTATCTTAGTACACCTGGCAACATGATTTTTGCACCGTAGCACACAGCATTTACCTGGAAGGGAGAAAACACGGATCTTAACATCTAAAGCCATCAGAATATAAAGAACATTCAACATGTACAAGGCAAAAATGGATATTCATTGGTGATTTTGACATAAACACCTGCATAGGTCAATGACTTGTATCCAAGAAATGTAGTATGTCAATAGCACATTCAATAAGTCAAATAAACAAAAATGGCAGTCGAACTACATCAAATCAATGCAATATCGTTCATTTTTTGTTTGTTTTGTTTGTTGTTTTAACGCCACACTCAGCATTATTCCAGCTATATGACGGTGGTCTGTAAATAATTGAGTCTGACCAGACAATTCAGTGATAGACATCATGAGCATTGATCCACGCAATTGGAACAATATTTGATGGTTGCGCATTACTTGTAGGACTTGTTTTAATCATGAAATTATGAAATGCCTTGCTTAGCATTACTATTGGTCAAAAGTCCCAAATACTAAAACCATCTGTCAAATTTGACATGTAATTCAACAGCACTATTTGTCACATGACAGGATTGATACAAATTGCAATGACTCAGAAATGGATCAGTGTGCAATTCACTGTGTGTGTGTGTGTGTGTGTGTGTGTGTGTGTTCGTGTGCATGCGCGACCAATCCCCTTAAAGTCGAGAGCCAGGCAGGGTAACAACAAGTACCATCTTTTAATATATTTTGGTACGAACAGTCCGGGGATTGAACCCGGGACCCTCGGGCGGACGCTCTACCACTCGACCATGGAGGCGGTCTGATCCCAACAGGACAAGTGAAAAGGGGAACACTGTTCCACACACGGCCGTGTATTACAATATTACACCAACCAAGCAATACCTTGAAAAACAAAGAAACTTCACAATCGAAGGTGCTCCTTTGTTTCTAAATACTCCTACAAGTACATGACATTATTGAAAGAGTACATACAGCAGTGTCTTTCATGATGATTCTCTTGTGCGAGATGAGAAGAGACTCCAAGGGGCGGATAACTCTGCGCAGATACTCTTCATCCTTGTGATGGTCGTATGCCCACTGGGCATCCATCACGTCGTGCATCGTCACCATCCCCTCCTGCAAACAAGCAAAATACACCTCAGCATCAGTTAACAGGCGGTGTCAGTTTCTTGAACAGTTCAGGATTATTCCTTCTGGTTCCATATACTAGCTGGTGTAGATGCTGTATTCAGTTCCCTCAAGTGTTCCGGGAGCTTGGGAAGGTCTTCTTATTCATCTATTTCAACGATATCTAGCTAATATTTCTAAGAGTTCCATCGCTATATTATAATACTCATTCCTGCAATATCTCACTCAAACCAAACAGGCCTGGATCTTCTCTGCAAACAAGCGACTGGCAGTCTAGAATGGTTTCACAAAGCAATCTTAGCACTATGGCCAAATAAATCTCAATATTTACCCTCAAGACAGTATTTACCTCAAATGTGCATCCTGTATGCACAAATGTAGAGAATGGACGCAAATATAATACTGCTTAAAAAGATATGCACAATAGTATTCACTGGTACCTACAGTGCATCAAGAGCAGTTATCACTGTGTTAAGCATGACCTCTGTCCACATGATCATTTATTTATTCCAGGCTGTAAACTAATTATCTCAACATACAGTACACCATTTCATTACTCCACAGGACCCTCAAAATTAATTACTGTGGGTCCAGGGGACCCCCATTTTTGTAAGTCAAGGTAAAATAGTGACAGTGTAGTGTGTAAAACATTCTCATAGTTATAACACTGACCGATGAAATAAATGAATTGAAATGCAAAATAATATTCTGAAGTTTCTCCCAGAAATCCTGAAGGAATTCCAGTAACAACAATACACATCTCCCACAACCTACCTTCTCGGACTGAATCCCTGACCGAACCCTACGCAGTTCTTGCATCTGACCTCCGACCCCTAGGAAGAGGCCAAGATGGACGCACATGGTTCGGATGTAGGTGCCCGCCTCACAGCTCACCCAGAATATACCTGAGCAAACACAGAGAACCACCCTTCTGTTATATAGTCACTCAGGACATAGACAAAAAAAACTAAGTTTGTTTGTTTGTTTGATGCCGCAGCAATATTCCAGCTATATGACAGCAGTCTGTAAATATACTACTGAAAGAAGTAAAGGAAAACCTGTTTCTTTCATATTACTGTTAATTTGTCATGCCATGATAGGTGAACTATAGTAATATGAAATAATCGGGTGTTCCTTAACTTCTTTTGAGTAGTATATTTGTGTCTGGACCAGACAATCCGATGATTTACATCAGGAGCAACGATCTAGGGAATTGGGATACGAAGACATGCATCAACCAAGTCAGCGAGCCTGACCACCCAATCCCGTTAGTTGCCTCTTACAACAAGCAGTGGTTGCTGAAGGCGTCTTCTAAATTGGATCTGCATGGATAATAAACTAAAATGTCCGCTACACTGCCTAACACCACTCAGTAATATTCCAGCTATACGACAGCAGCCTGCAAAATCAAGTCTGGTCCAGACAATCCAGTGATTGCTATTCATGAGTGTGTGAGTATGGTTTAACGCCGCTTTTAGCAATATTCCAGCAATATCACGGCGGGGGACACCAGAAATGGGCTTCACACATTGTACCCATGTCGAGAATCGAACCCGGATCTTCAGCATGATGAGCGAACGCTTTAACCACTAGGCTACCCGACCGCCCCTCGTGTTTAAAGGAAGGTAGCGGGTGTGGACTTACCCATAGCTTTCTCTGCATCATACTCGGACATCTTGCATTCATACACTGTGCGGATACGCAGCTGACGCTTGACAGCAGAGATGAGCGGTGGACGTTGGAAGAGAGCTCCTGTCATGCCTTCAATTGTCTGGTAAAGTAATACAAAGGAAATGTACTTTCAACAGAACAGATACACAAACATTTCATAATATCGATCAATTGATAAATATCTAATCACCAAGCATGAAGATCTTATACTTTTGCTTCATCTTGTTCCTCGTTACTACTGTTTAAGCCATTGTGATGAAGTCACGCTATTGTTGTTTCAGTTGATTCGGAACCAGGAATTTACTCTCCATTCTGAACTTGCACTTCAAACAAGTAAAACTGACAACTATACGTCATTATGTATAATTACAGAAATCCTGTTTAAACCATAATATTCTTGAAGTCTGCATCTTCAGAGAAATCACTCGAATCTATTGCCTCCAAAAGTGGAACCAACAGATTCGAGTGATTTATCCATTGCATCATGCTTATACGGCTATTTTATCACTGTCACAATGTTGTGCAGCCATAATGTGGTGACACTGCCTAACAGGATCTTAACACATGATTGGGCTTTAAGACGCCTTATGGCCAAACTTGCACAAAAAGTATTCCAAAATGTTGTTTGTGTGTCTGTGTAACGCCAAACTTGGCAATATTCCAGCTATATGATGTCAGTCTGTAAATAATCGAGTCTGGACAAGATAATCCAGTGATTGACAACATGAGCATCAATCTACGCAATTGGGATACGATGACTGCATCCAACGAGTCAGTTATATGACCACCCGGTCCTGTTAGCTGCGTCTTACGACAAGCATAGATGCCTTTTTAAGCAAGCATGGGTTGCTGAAGGCCTATTCTACCTCGGGTCTTCAGGGGTCCATTCCAAACTGTAATACAGCTAATGCCTATCATTTCACACCTTGCTAATTATGCCAATACTTCTTGACCAAGATCATAATTGTGATATTTCTGAGTGAGTGAGTGAGTGAGTGAGTGAGTGAGTGAGTGAGTGAGTTGGGTTTAACGCCGCTTTTAACAGTATTCCAGTTATATCGCGGTGTGTCAGCTTAATGTGGGAGGAAAGCCCGAAGTGATGCAGGTCTCAGACGTTTACCACTTTGGTGAAACCCACGAGCACGGGTATGGTGCTGACAAACCTAGAAACATAATTGGGGCGAACCGGGATTCGAACCCACAATCATAGGTTTCTGGCGTGCCAAAGGGACGCAACTCTGCACAGCGAATCGCGGCGCCTTAGACGACTGGGCCACCCGTGCCCCCTGATATTTCTGAGAACTGTCTTATCCAAGATTTGCAGACGCCCTTACCTGTTTGACTCTCTTCTGGTCCTCCACGACACTGTGTAGTTTGAATATACAGACATACTCCTTCCCTGCACCCTGCTGAGACTTCACTAGCCTGGTGGCGCGCTCCACGCACACGATCAGACATCCTGTCACCTTGGGGTCCAGCGTCCCGGAGTGCCCGGTCTTTTCCACACGCAGTATACGTTTGATCCACGCCACGACTTCATGAGAAGACGGGTTGGCGGGCTTGTCGAGGTTTATCACACCACTCCTGCAGAGGGCATGAGGTTGCACATGTAAAACTGGACAAACATTTGGGAGTGTAACAATATATCAAACTATCAGTGTTTTGCAATTGTTAACCCTACAATTGTACCAGGAATCTCTAGTACCGTCGACAGTATGCATAACAATCGATATTTTCGCAATTGGTTAGAAGTTGCTATTAGTAGAAGTACAACAAGTTATGCATCAGGAAACAAGTTTTTGCAGTCGAATTAAAACCAACCACATTGATTAGCAAGGACTAACTTCAGATTAGAGTTACTTCCCTTTGGTTAGAGTAGCCATAGGGAGGAAAATGACTGACTTTTGACATTTCAGAAATACTTTCATTTATATTACATTCATAAACATAATTATCAAGTAGTAAACTTGGTTTAACAACTATCACACATAACTTTCATGGTCGTGAAACCATAATACAGTACATAAACTTTGTTTCTCACAATTTATTTTCTAATACAGAATAGTTGACTTCATTCAGTGTCATGTCGATGGGTCTTAGTCAGATGTTGTCTACCTTTATGAGCGATTCTATGGATTCTATTCTCAGTCTAATCACTGGGTTGTATATGCAGTACCGAGATACGTATCAAGCTATTTATTGTATTGGGTGACACCTGTATCGTGACATGCCTGGTCCTAGTGTCCTTGGGGTCTGCTCACAGTATTGGAATCTAGGGATTCCTTCATTGTCTACCTCATAACACCAAGGCCAGGACAAGAATGCCTTGACTTCCATGCTGACTGGAGCAAATACTAAAACATTGCCCACTCCACCGGGCTAGAAACATTGATAAACAAACTGTCAGCAACATTGTAATCTTTATCATTATCAATAAGATATGATTTCCAAGCTCCTTCCCAGCGAGCTACACCTTCATTACACTCTCGGTAACATCGCTGCCACCAGTGTGGGCGCGGCCATTACAAGAATCTTGAAATATGCCCTCTAACCCCAAATGTAGTCAAGTTAATACCTTTGTTTAAGTTTTTGGGAATGCCATGATTGTTCATTTTGAAAAGGTTTTGACAGACCATGTTTTCCAGTTGAATTTACTTTGTTTGTATAATCAGATTGGTTCGAGATTGCAGACTAACAGAAAATCAACCAAATTCTCCCCTACATTCTTACTTTATTAATTTCATGATAGGTTTAATGAAATAGAATTCAAATTGACAAACAAAGAAAGCAGGGTTAAGTGTATTCTGCATCACGACAGTCGTCACTTGTTTGTGAACATAACATTCAATCGGCTCCAAGCATGGTTGTGGTCACCTATCACAGTGGGGAGTTTTGACTGGTGGCAGCGACAGTATAGAGAGCTCCACGAACGGGCTATCGCTGTGAGCAGCTTGATATGATTACCTGACATAGTCTTCAATTGGTCTCTTCAAGGGAGAGCATCCTGAAGCGATGGGTGTGTAGTGGTTTGTTCGCACATTCAACTTGTCAAAGTTCTGGAAATATAGTGGTTATGCTATGTATGGAATGTATTAAGCTTTGTTTGAGAAATACAGTGAAACATCTCATACAAAACCTTGACAAGTATGTTTGTTTGTTAGTTGTATAACGCTGCACTCAGCAATAATCCAGCTATATGACGGCAGTCTGTACATAATGGAGTCTGGACTAGACAATCAAATGATTGGCATCATGAGCATCAATCCACACAATTGGGATACGATGACATGCATCAACCAAGTCAGCAAGCCTGACCTCCCGATCCCATTGGTCGCCTCTTATGACAAGCATTGTCACCATTTACAGCAAGCATGGGTTGCTGAAGACCTATAGTACCCTGGATCTTCACAGGTCACATGTCATAATGGAAGATGTCCCATTGATATCCTCTACAATTAAATAATAATCAAATTGCAACTATGGTAACACATTTAAATGACCCTTTTATGAGCCATTAACTCACCTTGAGCAGCAGTGGCCATTGAGATGTGTCTAGTTTGGCTGCCTTCTCTGATGGTTGAATCAGAAAGGTTTCAGATTGTTGGATGGACTGCAAATATGATAAACAATAATCACCAATCACAACAAAATAATGTTGTTAAGTATTTTTCAATATCCCACATCATCAAAAGGCTCCAGTTCACCACTAGACTGATCTGTACAGCAAGCTTCATTGAGAAATATTCAACAGTTTGGGAGTTCTGCTCTGGACATGCTGGAAACAAGCACTACCCTTTTTTTCAGTATTAGTCCAAGTTGTGGTCATGAAAATAAATAAATAATAAAAGAATAACAAATATCCCAAATCATCAAAAGGCACCAGTTCACCACTGAACTGATCTGTATAGCAAGTTTCATTGAGAAATATTGAACTGTTCAGGACTTCTGCTCCAGAAACAGATAACGGATGGACATGTTGATTGCCATAAATGTGAGCAATGAAAATGACAACACCTCCTTTTGATTACAATTACAATGTACTTATTATCAACGCAGAACGATTAACTTGTTTAAAATGCACGTGCTCAAGTTGTCTTAAGCCAGTCAGCAATATTCCAGCCATATTGTGACTGCATGTGTAAGTCGTGGCAGACAACCCCTGGATGACATCATGAGGAAATTACTGAGCTAAAATGTAAGACAGATCTTTACAGTCCATCATTACCAAGCTACACTTTGTGAGACATGCATTTGCTGTGAATCTTACCGATACATATACCTAATCTGACCAGGCCAGACTTATTGGAACAGAATCTTAATCTACAATGAAATAAGTGCAAAGAAATGGAATACTTAAAACAGTTAAGGACTACCATGGCATGACTGATTAACTGTAGCGATCATGGTTAAAGGAAAGAACTGGATTGTCCTTAATTTTACTGAGTAGTACATAAAGCTGGGGATCACAACTTGATACAAGATTTATAGTGCCATGCAAGTAACTTGATTGCATGGCCTGTAGTTCCATCATTTCTGCAGATAGGTAGAGGGAGTGAGGGAGTGAACGTGGTTTTACGCCGCTTTCAGCAATATTCCAGCAATATCATGGCAGGGGACACCAGAAAGGGGCTTCACACATTGTACCCATGTCGGGGATGGAACCTGGGTCTTCGGTGTAATGAGCGAACACTTAACCACTAGGCTTCCCGACCCCACCCCACTGCATATATGGTAGAAGATACAGTATGTAATACTAATATATTCATATCGTTGGCGTTGTACTTACCCCCAAGTCCTCTCCACTCTTCTTCCTGTGCTTTTTCTTTGATTCTGAAAATACAAACATATTTACCTTGTACAAGTTCCCAAATCATGAAACAGTGATTGCTTTCCACAGCAGTCAACTATGGCCTTCAGACAGTGAGTCTGGTCCAAACTGAATTCCCGACTCGACTGGATGGGCAACAATATTACTCGGTGTACTATGACAACTTACGTGATTTTAATCAGTAACTTCCTTTGTGTGTGTTTTTTAAAAAGGCGTACACGTTGTTCACATGCACTATGATTTTTAAACATATGAAACTGGGCCATGACGTATCATGCATGCTAACAGTACAATTTCACGAGAAGATAATCCTCAGATCTCGCACTCCACTTAGTCCTAAGATTTGCCAGTTCGTGTTATTATCGCAATACGAGGATAACTCTGTGTTATTTGATATTTAATGCAAAGAAGAACCCTTCGTGACGCTAACTCGGTTGCTTTTGACACAATTAAACGAGCAGAGAACACCATGAATGAGCCACTACCAGCCGATATCCACATGTTACAGTTTGTTTTTGTTGCGAGCACGTGGACGTACATTCAAATCGTATTGCAACCCCACGACCTAGTAACATTGCCTAAAAACAAAACCATGCTATAAATACCGCTGCCCTAAAGTTCCATAATAGCAATAACGTCTAAATTCAAAGGAATTAAATTCGTGGACTGCTAAATTCATCAATGTGCAGCAAATGCCTCACCTCCTGCGTCCGCCATTTTTCAACACGTGGGTTTCACTTGAACTAAGCGGGAGGACCTCCACCGGGACAGTCCGCGGTAAAAGGGGAGATAACTTTGTACGTGAATGGTAAATTGTCTACTTTTGTATTGTACAGTGATCGCTGCACGAATACATGTACATGGTATATATAATCCGACAATGGTTTATTACATTTGTTTGGACATAATAGAATTTCTTTTAAAAATTTACATTTACTATTATCAATATGTATATTTTGGGAGACATAGCAAAACTTTAAATATGCAACATATTACACGTCTTTAAATGGCATTTAGAAGTGATACACATAAGGAAGAAAATTTATGGAGAATTTATGTCAACTTCTTTATTATAAGGAAACTCAACGTTTCGGAGTATATGCTTACTCCTTCGTCAGGATGTATATACCAGATCCTCTGCAACTGTGGCCAGCATAGACTAAAATCTAGTCTCTGAAATGAACATATCGTACATAAAAAAACAGTTGTTCAGTTATCTTAATAAAAGTATAATAAAAAGGAGCCCAGTGACTCTCTTCATTTTCAGATACTGCAGTGATCTAGACTTGCCAAACATTATAGACTTGCATGGGCTGTATTTGATATATATTTGTATCAGGGTCTGTAAGACAGACTATGGCCAGCAGTACATTGGAGAAACCCTCAGACCTCTTAACACCAGACTCAGAGAACATCACACCTCTGTCAACAAACTCGACCTGAAATCCGCCATTTCCGAACCCGCCCTGAAGAACCAAGACCATTACATCATGTGGGAAGCCACCTAGGTCCTGTCTACCAACAACAACAACTGGGGACAAAGAAAACTACAAGAAGCCATTGACACCAGGAGACATCAGCCAGCCATGAACCAATAATACCATGTATGTCATCTCTGACCACTGCAAACAACTTCATGGAAAAAAATAAATATAATAAATTGAGCTACATTGTTATATTTTTGACCGACCCAATCAGTATTAAACATGTTATAACAAAGTATGACGTTATATGTTCTGTATATGTATATGTGTGCGTATTTATCATCCAAAACTGTCTCCCACAGGAGATATCGCTTGGATTAGATCTACACTGTAGATATCGCTGCAATGAAATTACATCACAATGCTTTGCTGACCACTGTGACGTCACTGGTTACCATGACGTCACAATCAAATGACATCACTAATGGCTCTGCTACTGAAGCTGTTTGCAGTACTTTTTACACTGAAGACACTGCTAATTACTGTCTACAAATTGAAAAAGTTGAAAGAATGATGTTGGATGATAAATAAAATCTCACCCTCGTGTCTTTTGATATCAAATATATCAACACTTGTTGATAAAAGTGGCAAAAATCCTCGGCAAGCCTCGGAATTTTTCCACTTTTATCAACTCGAGTTGATATATTTGATATCAAAAGACACTCGGGTGAGATTCTCTATATATTTGAACGCGCGAGAAAATGTGCACAGCAACTTACAGTGTGCATACTAAATGTTCAAACATTCCATATTAAGAATGCATTAAACTCTGCGTAACGCTATTTATTTCCATTTTCTCAAACTGGCGTCCACGGGAGATATCACTACAGTGAATTGGTAATATTTTATTTATCGCATAACGTCATTTTAGAACAATGGATGTCAGAGACGTAAATTCACTCAAAAGTGTATGAAGAATGAAGGCATCACGCTGATGTATGGAGCTTGGAAGTAGTTCCTGCCAGACGACCTGATTTGCATATTTATCGAATCATGGTACCAGGTTTATTGGATTGGTTTATCACCAGGAAACAAGCTTTTATATGATAAATAGAACCTCACCTGGTGTCTATTGATATCAAATATATAAACAAAAGCTTAAAACTCCTCTGCAAACCTCTGTGTTTTAAACTGTTATCGACTCGCATCGATATAGTTGATACCAATAGACACCAGGATGGGATTCTATATTTATCAGAGGCTGAATATTGTTTCCGTCACTGATTTAATTAATATATTTTATAGCCATAATATTTTTCTCTGAAAGGAGCCAAACTCTTTTCTGTGCACACACAATAAAGTTGTATAATGACAGTCAGAGAACGATTCAGCTGGTATAACCTTGGGTAATATTTCTGAAACAAGTTATTATTAAAAAACAAAAATCCCAATTTTTTATATCAAGGAATCTTGTCTTATCTAACTTCAAATCAATAAATGACAAAACTGAGTCTGTTAACGAGTATAACCAGTTCCCTAGGATTCGAATAATTAGGTGAATGGTATTATACAAGTGAATGCATTCCGAATAATATAGTAGACCTTTAAAATATACATTTTCCGGATTTTATCATTTAAATCCAAAATGCGCCTGCGCAAGAACACCGGAAGTTTTGAACATGTGCGGTAAACACGGAAATTCGATGACACCGTCGACTGATTATTTTGTGTCAGCAGAAATCGACAGCGAGGAACTTGATGTCAGTCTTGTTATCAGTGTAAGTGCCAACTATACACATGTCACGTGTCTGAGGCAAACATAGAACACGGTGAATAGATAGTTTCGATATGATTATGAACTTTAATTGATTTTACTTTTAGAAATTTAGTCAGATATGAATTATGATGTCGAACATGCCAGTTGTGATCGGCGTTCCCCCTCATCATTATGACGCATGATTGTATCTCTAATTTAATAAAGATCGAGATTATTGAATTAATTCAGGATTTCATAAGAAATATTACACCAATATTATTCTGTCCTCATCAGCTCCTCATTAACTAGTTTAGTGGTATGTTTGGCCCAGTTCTCCAACTCTAAGGTTGGTTGGTTGGTTTGTTGTTTAACGCAGCACTCAGCAATATTCCAGCTATATGACGGCCGTCTGTATATAATCGAGTCTGTACCAGACAATCCAGTGATTAATATCATGAGCATCGATCCACACAACTGGGATCGAAGACATGCATCAACCAAGTCAGCGAGCCTGACCACCCGATCCTGGTTAGTCGCCTCTTACGACAAGCATAGTCGCCTTTTACGGCAAGCAAGCGTTGCTGAAGACCTATTTTCCCTGGATCTTCACCACAATTTGTGGAATAGTGTAAGCATGACTGATACATCTGTAAAACATATTATTGAGGTCGCCTAGCTTTATGTATTAATTAATATTGTATGATGTCAGAAATGAGAGACAAAAAATATGACCCATAACAGGCCTACACCAGTTCACCCTTGTTATAAGGCCAGGTTTAAAGTATAAATGTTTTGACAGTAACATTGCCCAAATTATCTCAAATGTCAAGTCTAATTCAGCCTTGCCTGGAGTCGTAGGAAACTTAAAAGCATGTGATGTTTTCACAATAAGTTTAGTTGCGCCTCCCAACTTGTTTTAAGGCGATTAACATTTCACAATTATTTGTGTTTGCAAATGACCATGTTAGTTTAATTTCATTTGTTTCAGTACCAAGGTAAAAAAATTAAGGTGCCATTTTCGCCAGGCAATAGCTCTGTTTTCGCTTTCGACAAAGTGCTGTTTTTGTCAGTCGGTGCCAATTTCGCTCGGTTACATTTTGCTGAGTTTCCTTTTTAGCTATATCCCGTTTGAGTGTAATTACACTTGGGAGTTGGCCACCCACCCAATATATTCTTTGTCTTAGAGTTTTCTGTTTCTAGATCTTGACAGGACTGCAGCCACAATGGACTTTGCCCCTTCCCCTTATATATTCTGTCTGGAATAAAACTTTTCTGTTTGTAGATCGTGTAGACGACAGGACTGAGGCATCATGGGAGTCCAGGGGTTATGGCAGCTCCTGCAGGCAGCAGGGAAGCCAGTGTCGCTCGAGTCCCTGGAGGGGAAGATACTGGCAGTCGGTATCCTGCAACACTGTGTACAAGTTAAGCCAACACAGCTAGACCCTCTAGATCAACCTTGCTTATTGAAACATCATGCAAACTTTCACCACTGGTCTGAAATTTAAGAATACTTGTCTTGGTTTAGCTTTAGAAAGCTTTGCAAATAGTGTTCATTTTGCCACGGTTATTGCAGCTGTGTAGAATGTTTATGGTTATATAAATGTCAAAAATATGATATAAATAAATTGTATAAATAATTGTAGGATTTCATTGAAATTTTTGTTGCCCATGTCATCATCAGGGTTTTCCCTTTGGCATGAGAATCATTGTCAGAAACTAACGTTGGAAATTAATGTTGTAGCTGTGAATAAGAATTCTTTTTTCAAGGGTCAGTTTATTGGCGTGAGGTGAAACAAGGTTCCATGTCTTGTTCACAAGTATTTCAATTATATAGTGATGTGCATGCATGTGTGTGTGTCACTGATTATATTGTGAGAGTCCAATGAAATACCACGCCGCAGTTTAACATGAATACTCCACTCGGACACAGTTCACTGACTCCGAGCCGACCAGTCCTTGTTTTATCCCCTAAATGCCGAGCGTCAGGCAGAGTAACAACAAGTACCATGTTTAAATGTTTTTGTTATTGTAGTGGCCATAAAATTTCAACGTCCCGTGATGGGATTCGAACCACGGACCTTCTGACCAAGGTTGGACACCTTGTCCACATGACCAAAGAGGTTAACCCTGTCAAGAATGTCATCTGTGGGACGACTCCACGCCCTGCTACATTATTTGTTAGAATATTATCATTGTCAGCGTGAATTTGCTCCTTAACCCCCAAGACGTGAGTATTTGGCTGCATCAGGCAGCAAAGGGGATGCGAGACAAGGATGGAAACCCTTTGCCCAACGCCCACCTTCAGAGTCTGTTCAGCCGCGTGTGTAAACTCCTCTTCTACAAGATAAAGCCAGTGTTCGTGTTTGACGGTGGCGTCCCCATACTCAAGAAACAGACACTGGTAAAGTCTATTTCACTTCTTCACTTCCCTGTACTCTCAAAAGACCACCAACGATAGTACATGAGTGAAATACAATTTTTTAACAATATTTAAACAATTACTTACAAAAGGTTTTCAGGTTTTTGATATTTGAACATTTTCTCAATTGAATAATTTGGTCCACCAATGATGGTACACGAGTGAAATACAATTTACAACAATATCTAAACAAATTACAATTAATCAAGATGGTGGGTCTTAATTTCACATCGTCTTACTGATTACCTTCAACAGATGGACAATTACTTACGGCCGATTTTTCAGGTTTCTGATTTAAACATTTTCTCGATTGAATTATTTGGTCCGCTGTCTGTATTGTACGGTATAAGGGTTAATCTGGGTTATGACAGTGCTTCAAATTGTCACCAACTGCAGGAGAGCTACATACATTGCAGAGTCGGTTTTCTCGAGGTCTTGCCACTCATCGTTCCTTAATACGATTTTGTCTTCTGTGGGTGTGGTGTTATACTCCATAGGGCTGTGTATAGGCAAATAATTTGTCTTGCAGTATATTGTTAGTGTTTGTCAGTGTTTGACACTGATTTTACGTACATGCATTCAATATTTCAGTTGCCGCCATTTTGTAGTCATGGATACAGGGGAGATAATTATGTGAGAGAAAAATCACTTCACGTTTCTGCCGTTTGGTAAAAGAGACACATTTATATCAGAATGATTATGGACCGGATGGTAGACAAATGGGGAATATGTTCTTGTTTCTTGTCTTAGCATCCCCATCCATCTAAGGCGCCGCGAGTTGCGTCACGTAGGCACGCCAGAAACCTATGATTGTGGGTTCGAACCCCGGTTCGCCCTGATTATGTTTCTAGGTTTGTCAGCACCATACCCGTGCTTGTGGGTTTCACCGAAGTGGTAAACATCTGAGACCTGCATTACTTTGGGCTTTCCTCCCACATTAAGCCGACACGCTGTGATATAACTGGAATACTGTTAAAAGCAGCGTTAAACCCAACTCACTCACTCACTCACTTGTCTTAGCATCAATATTAATGTGAACAAGGGAAGGGTTGCTCTATGTGTGTGCTATGTGTGTGCTATGTGTGTACTATGTTAACTGTCAGGCTGCAAGACGAGAGAGGAGGACGGAGGCTGAGCAGGAGGGGGACAAGGCCACCAAGAAACTGCTGCACAACCTCATCCGCAGTCAGGCCATCAAGCACGCCCTCGGACAGCCAGCAGAGGGCAGCACCAGCGCTGGCATAGCTGCAATCAGGTCGTCAGGCAGGGGGCGGGACCTGTTTGAGTTACCTCCCTTGCCAGAACTAGACAAGGAGTAAGTTGTCATGTAATGACTTTAGGCTGAAAAAAATAATAGTCTTGGTTCTCAGGCACCACCCGCATCATCATAAAGTTCACTTCATGTTTCGTTTGAATTTTTATTTTCAAAAAAATATAAAAATCCTAATACTTTAACACAATGCACAAAAAATTAAATTGGAAACAAAAAGGAAACGTGAAGTGAACTTTATGATGTGGGCAGTGCCTGAGAACGAAGACTATTATTTATTTTAGCTTTAGCGGTTGATATTTGCTCTGGATAGTAATATTATGAAGAGTTATTTTGAAACTTTCAGATAACATGTCCAGTTATGACCATGTGTGAACATTCAATAATTTGACCTGAAACATCTCCTTGTGTAAGTGGAGGAGATGCTATCTGTACCATTGTGATTACTTGATGTAGAATCTCATTCAGAGAATTCCTGGAAATATGGCTGGGATTGAGTACCCCACTCCAACTTGATTTCTTTGTCTTAGTGCGTTTCTTTTGTTCCTTTTCCTGCTGGGTGCAAGGGTGGCCCAGTCGTCTAAGTCGCCACGATTCGCTGTGCAGAGTTGCATCCCTTGGGCACACCAGGAACCTATGATTGTGACTGCATCACTTCGGGCTTTCCTCAGATTAAGCTGACAAGCTGTGATATAACTGGAATACTGTTAAAAGCGGCGTTAAACCCAACTCACTCACTCCTTTCCCTGCTACTCAGCTTTATGTTTGACTTTGCTATGATGTTGAATGTGGTGCATCACATCTGGGTGGTTGGATTGATCACTGTCATTACATAGAAGGGACATAACTCATAATAGCCACTGGTGGTGTTACGATCGAGCCCAGAAATTCCGGCCTGGAAACTGGACTTTTAAAGTCACTTACCTTTCTTACCTCGGTAAGATGCTTACTGTTAGAAAATGCTTACTGATAGACCACAAGGCTCTCATTGGCTTGTATTCCTGGACATGTTCAGTGAGATATAGAGAATCTCACCCGAGTGTCTTTTGATATCAAATATATCAACACGAGGTGATAAAAGTGGAAAAATTCCCGAGGCTTGCCGAGGATTTTTGTCACTTTTATCAACGAGTGTTGATATATTTGATATCAAAAGACACGAGGGTGAGATTTTATTTATCATCCAACATCATTCTTCCAACTTTTTCAATTTGTAGACAGTAATTAGCAGTTTGAGAATGGGGTGCTCGGAGAGTAAGAGAAGGTACTTGACAGTTGATTTTGTCCCTGACTGTATGGGAGTGTTGTTGTTTCAGGACAACAGGGGGCTTAAACTACGGTCATGAAGATGATGATCCTTGGGAGGAACGACAGTTGCAGCAGAGAATTGTGGAGGTAGACACTGATGTTGCCATTGGTGGAGTGGATGAGTGAGTGAGTGAGTGGATCAGCAGAATATATTGCAGTCCTAAGACCAATGTCACCGGGAAGAAAGATGGAAGACCGTAACAAAGCGTTAACCCTAACATATCATAAATACACCTGGTAAAAAGTGAAGCACCACCCTTTGAAATATCTACATAAGACTTTGGCCTGTTCTGATATGGACCAATACTGACACTCACTCACTCACTCACTCACTCACTCACTCACTCACTCACTCACTCACTCACTCCTCCCCCCCTCCCTACCTACCTACCTACCTACCTACCTACCTACCTACCTACCTACCTACCTACGCTGTAGGCTATGAAACAACTGATGTATTGTTGAAAGAGCACCCAAGTACGAACTTATGTAGCTGCAACATTGCCTCCCTCCCATGGAAACAGGTGATGATTATTGTTAACATTTGAATCATCATAACTGGTATCATCCTCTGTTCCATTTGCAACAATCCTAGCTTGCCCTTTTCAATCTACAGGAGGAGTTCCAGTCTCTGGACAGTATTGACGTAGAGTCTGACGACTTCCGCTCCCTGCCGTCGGAGATCAAGCACGAGATTCTCACCGAGATGAAGGAGATGAGGAAGAGGCGCCGACTCGGCAAAAGAGTGGCGTTGCCCGAGGTACGCGGATGGAAGGGTTGCTTCTGTAGAGTTCAGTCATTGCTGTTTACAACCTTCTCCATGATGGATATGACATATCTAAGTTATCTTATCTTACATGAATGTTGGATTCTCTTATTTTATTGCCCGGCTATCATGACTATTGGATTCAAGAATTATAGCTGAGACCCATTCTCTTATTTTATTGCCCGGCTATCATGACTATTGGATTCAAGAATTATAGCTGAGACCCATTCTCTTATTTTATTGCCTTGCTAACATGACTATAGGATTCAAGAATGATGGCTGAGACCCATTCTCTTATTTTATTGACCCGCTAACATGACTATTGGATTCAAGAATTATAGCTGAGACCCATTCTCTGTTTTTATTGCCCTGCTAACATGTCAGGTACACTTCTTGTATTCCCCACTTAAATTGCTTAACTGTTGGCATTTCTAAGTAAGGATAAGATATTTGGATGAACAACTTCCTTATTACAATTAGGAGTGACATTTCGGTGTAGGTTCTAACACCGTTATCCACCCAGGTCATCCATATTTCTTATCCTTACTTTGTACTCCAACTTGTAAATGCCTCTCAAAGAAGGTGTTGGTGTTACATTTGCAACCACAGTTTTGTATACTCAATCAATGATGTAAGACGATGTTCTCCGGATATTTACACTACTTTCCGATCTAGGGGGAAAAACCCAAAGTTATCCTGCTTCGATGAGTGTGAAAAATGACTGTAGGTTTGTTGGCCTGGATACATCTGAGGCTGTATACGGACCTATTATTGTTATTATTATTATTATTATTCCAGAATTCTGATGACTTTTCTTCCTACCAAATGAACAAGCTTGTTAACCAGAGCCGCCTGACCAACCACATCGAGTCTGTCCGTAGAGAGATGAACGCCCAAAACACCGCCGACTTTTCTCAGGCAGTTGGCAGCGAATACCTGGCTGGAGAGTTTGAGTCTCGCCGTGTGGTGTCGGAGGATGCCTCTCACTACATTCTCATCAAAGGCCTCAGCAAACAACGGCAGGTGGAACAGGCGGTCCGATGCGAGGATGTCGTCACTGACGTTGATGCTGATGCAGTAAGGAACGTTGTGACGGAGGAGGAGAAGAAGATGTTGGAAGAACCTGATGAGTTGTTGATCGATAGCGACAAGGACAAAAACTACACTTCTAACACAGCTGAAAACTCCCGTGACAATGACTGTTGTATTAATATTGGTCCAGACGTTTTCGAGCATCACAAAGGTGACGTAAACGTTGTTAATGTTGAAAGTTCTTCTGAAAGTGATGATGTTAAACTAGTTACTTCTGTGGAGAAAGATGTGAAAAATGAACCAAAACATGATACCGTTCCTCAGCCGGGAGTTCAGATTATTATGAATGGGAGTGGGGAATCAGAACACGTTGACAGGGGTCACAAGATGAAGAGAAAGGTTGAAACGGATGAATGTGAAGCTGAGAAAGTGAAGATGTCCAAGCTGGCTGCTGATGTGAGGATAACCGATGATGCAGGGAGCGTCACGAAGGACAGTCCTCAGGCCCAGCAGGAATCCGAGTCCGGTAACGAAAGACCCTTTCATATCTAGTGGCCATTTTAATTGCTAATTTGACCATATTCTATATTTCGTGTTGATTATTTAGCATAATGTCACCTTGTGCAGGTTTTTTAAGAAGCACAGAAACGTGCTTCCAGAATGCACGAATGTCTAGAATGTACTAAGAAACACAGTAATATTCATTGTGCCAAATTTTTTACAAGAAAGGTAAAGGTCTTAAAGTAATTCCAGTACACCATGTACACAACACCATTTCATATACTTTATGGGGGCACGGATGGCCCAGTCGTCTAAGACGCTGCGATTCGCTGTGCAGAGTTGCGTCCCTTGGGCACGCCAGAAACCTATGATTATGGGTTCCAATCCCGGTTCGCTCGATTATGTTTCTAGGTTTGTCAGCACCATACCCGTGCTCGTGGGTTTCAGCGAAGTGGTAAATGTCTGAGACCTGCATCAGTTCGGGCTTTCCTCCCACATTAAGCTGAAACGCGGTGATATAACTGGAATACTGTTAAAAGCGGCATTAAACCCAACTCACTCACTCACTCACTTTAGCTGTGAATCTGTACTTGATTGTGTTGAGAATTCAACTATTGCAAATCACAGAAAGAAAAGAACGCTAATTTGTCCAATGCTTTCTATAACCATATTGAACATTGTTTGTGAAAACAATGTGACACAACTTGTCCTTGTGACACGTGTGTTATGTTCTGCTTGTTTCCCCCAGATGATGATGAAGGGTTTATTGAGATAACCGTCGACCCGGCTGCTGCTGCTGCTGACGACCTGTTCCCCGCCGACATGTTCCTCGCCTCTGCTCCCACATCTCACACAGAGCCTGCCTCGTCCTCGGACATGGTCACAGACAGTACTGGCAGCACAAACAAGATGTCTGGTTCTGTGTCGGCTGGAAACATTCCCGCACCTCACACTGAACAAGTTGTCCAGCAGGCAGACGCAGTACAGGTGGCTACTGAGTCAAAGGTTTACCCAGAGTTCAACATTGAGGACTACCAGCTTGATGAGAGTGAAAGTGAGGCTGAGGTGGCGCCCCCTAGTGAGGAGGAAGCCAGCACTGACACACAAGGACCATCTGAAGAGTTCAAGGGAATGTCTACAGTAAGTTGGTTGCAGTGTCTCTTTTCAGAATACAGTTAAGTCTCGTTAATCCGACACTCTTTAATCCTGACAATCGGCTTTATCCGACACTAAAAATGGGAACCGATTAAATCAGTGCTATTTAGACCCGTTAATCCGTCAGTCTCGCACTCTGACTCCGACACATCTGATTTGCAACGACTTGCTGAAATCACTCATTAATCAGTCTCGTTAATCCAACACAGTGATCAGTGTACTCCGTGGTAATCTGCCCGCGAGTACACAGCTCATGTTTTGATGCAAGACGGGTCGGCGAGTAGCTGCATATTTCAACGGCTGCAGAGATAAACTTTCTTAACAATAAACAATTACTGCTTTAAATAAACAAACAGGATTAATCACATGCCTAGAATACCTCAATCTCATTAAAATCGGATACAAGTTCTCGCTACCGCTGAGGACATCCCATTACAGGTCACGTCAGAACGACCTTTCGCGAACTTTGACCGACCAATGAAATTACTAACAGGAAGACAACATTAGCCACTAAGAAAGCAGCTTTCTTAAGCATTGCGTCTAGTTTTAAATTGGCGACATCCATTCCAGACTATGCTTTAAAAAGTATTTTGAGTCAGTCATACAGTCCGTAACAGTAGTTTTGTGTTAAACATTAGAGTTGCATGATTAGAAAACATATTCTGCTAACAATGTAACATAACGATATAAATATTTCCTTTTTCCTTTTATCTATTACATGTTTGAATCGTTATCTATCGTGTAGTTGTCCGATTTTTCGATCACAAACGTTAATACTCCCTAATTTTATTTATCCGACATACTCGTTAATCTGACATAATCATATGCAACCAACAATGTCAGATTAACAGGACTTGACTGTACTTGAGCCATGTTCCATCAAGGTGCTGAGGTATTTTGAGTTTCAGTTTTATATGATATTATTGATGTTCCTAATAATTAATGAATTGGTTGATTGGCATTTCTTAGAAGTTGACGGATGGCAAAGTAGACATGATTTATGGATAACAACTTCTTTATTTTACTGTAAAGGCGACGTTTCTGTATAGATCCTTATACTGTTATCAAGCAAGACTGACTAATGAACATGGTACAGAATATATGTAGTAGGTGGGGGATTAAGAGTAACAACAACTGCATGCATGAGAGAGATTAACATGGGTAGGTAAAATAATAACAGAAGGATGTTAACATTAGTTGGTTAAATATCGTCATATCATAGGTTTACTGACATCACAAGTTTTCGGACGGCCATATTTATCATGATTACTACCGCTATAACAGGGGGTATAGCATCACACAGACCATTAAAATACTCAGATAATGGCTTGTTTTTAAGAGAAAGTTGTCTTTCATAAGTGAATGAGATGTTTTACAGTTGTTCATGTGATTACAGGGAAATCTATGAATGTTTGTAAGCGTCCGAAAACCCATACGCGGGGATAACAATAGGTTAACATGAGTTGGTTAAATACTAAGAACAGAATGATGCCAATGGTCCACCATGTTGAGACCAGGAGCAGTAGACAGTGCAGTACAAAGTGCCGTCTTGATGAGTAGATAGCCAAGTGTAATGCAGTGAAAGGGGGGTAACTCTTACAATACTTGGTCCAAATCTGTTTTCTACCCAAATAACACAATATTATGCTGGTTCTGGGTTCAAGGTTCCAAAATTTTACCAGTATAAACTTTGATCTCTGCCTAAATGTTTCGTTTGGTTTGTTGGTTGTTTTAAGCCGCACTTAGCAATATTCCAGCTATATGACGGCGGTCTGTAAATAATCGAGTCTGGACCAGACAATCCAGTGATTGATATCATGAGCATCGATCCTCGCAATTGGGATCAATGACATGCATCAACCAAGTCAGCGAGCCTGACCACCCAATCCCGTTAGTCGCCTTTTACGACAAGCATAGTCACCTTTTACGGCAAGCATGGGTTGCTGAAGACCCATTCTACCCCGGAATCTTCACAGGTCCTGCCTAAATGTGTTTCCAGAGAGTGTTTTGGCTACAGGTTGACTTGGAGGACATGCAGGATGAGCTAGTGAATGAGAGTGAGACACTGCGAGCTGAACGTGGGCGTCAGGAGCGCCTGGCAACTTCCATCTCAGACCAGATGAATGTGGAGGCCCAGGTACGTGAACTATATTTGATTTTGCACTGAAAATCAAAGGACAAGCAGAAACCAGCAGAAACGATTTGTTAAGTTTTTCAGTAGAAGTCCTTACATTTCATAGACATTAATGTTTTTTTTTAATGTCTCTGAGCTCTCAGGAAGCCCCAAGGGTATGTCTGGGGCTGAATAATTTCCCGTAAACCTTTCGTCAAGAGAGCATATCCCTACATTGTGGCCGCCTCCTTTGTCCGGTGGTAGAGCATCCGCCCAGAGAGCGGAAGGTCAGGGGCCGTGTCATATCAAAATACGTTAAAAGATGGTACTTGTTGTTACCCTGTCTGGCGCTCGGCATTAAGGGGTTAAAACAAGGATTGGTCGGCTCGGAGTCAGTATACTGTGTCTGAGTGGGGTATTCATGTTAAACTGCAGCATATTATCTCAGTCAGCTAGTACCCGGTCCTATAAATCGGCACCAGTCCGGACTAGTACAAGCAGCCACACACACATGTGCATATGCACGTCGCTATATAAGTGCAGTAACCTTGGACGCGACGTTGAACCAAATTTCACCTCACCTCACCCTACATGTCAAGTGAGTGAGTGAGTGAGTATGGTTTTACGCCGCTTTTAGCAATATTCCAGCAATATCACGGCGGAGGACACCAGAAATGGGCTTCACACATTGTACCCATGTCGGGAATCGAACCCGGGTCTTCGGCGTGACGAGCGAACGCTTTAACCACTAGGCCTACATGTCAAGTCTGTTGTCGTCTCCAGGAGCTGCTGCAGCTGTTCGGGATCCCCTACATTGTCAGTCCCATGGAGGCTGAGGCTCAGTGCGCCCAGCTGGACATCCTCGGGCTGACCCATGGCACTGTCACTGACGACAGTGACGTCTGGCTGTTCGGTGGTACCAGGGTGTACAAACATTTCTTCAACCAGAAGAAGTCTGTAGAGTTCTACAACTTTGCTGGCATCCAGGCTAAGTTTGGTCAGTATTTTGCTATCAGGTTTGACTTGTGTGACATGTAGACATTGTGTTTTGTGAGCCAGGTCATCATTTACTGTTTGATTGGTATACATCATTACATGTGTGTAGCGGACAAACAACGTAATATTTTAACAACTTTAACAGGCTTTGAAATTCATGCTTGTCTGATGGCCCAAGACTACCAAATTGTGCCGGGGACAAGTAGAATTGCCATGATGGTGGTCCTTGTTGACTGGTAGCAGTTGAGAGCTTTAATTCTGAACCAGTTGGAACTTAATAAAATGTGAATGTAGTAAACACGTCTGCCTTGTTCCAGCAGGGCTGGCTATAATCTCTTGAGGAACAGTGGTTTACAACAGTCCCCGGGGCTAGTCTTAAAAAAATTTAGTTTCTATGGCTGCTTGAATTCAACTGTCTGAATGATACGACCTCTGCATGTTACAACCTCTGTATGTTACAACCTCTGCATGTTACAACCTCTGCATGTTACAACCTCTGTATGTTACAACCTCTGCATGTTACAACCTCTGCATGTTACGACCTCTGCATGTTACAACCTCTGCATGTTACAACCTCTGTATGTACGACCTCTGCATGTTACAACCTCTGCATGTTACAACCTCTGCATGTTACAACCTCTGCATGTTACAACCTCTGCATGTTACGACCTCTGCATGTTATGAGCTCTGCATGTTACAACCTCTGCATGTTACGACCTCTGCATGTTATGAGCTCTGCATGTTACAATCTCTGCATGTTACGACCTCTGCATGTTATGAGCTCTGCATGTTACAACCTCTGCATGTTACGACCTCTGTATGTACGACCTCTGCATGTTAAAACCTCTGTATGTTACAACCTCTGCATGTTATGAGCTCTGCATGTTACAACCTCTGCATGTTACGACCTCTGTATGTACGACCTCTGCATGTTAAAACCTCTGTATGTTACAACCTCTGCATGTTACAACCTCTGCATGTTACAACATCTGCATGTTACAACCTCTGCATGTTACGACCTCTGTATGTACGACCTCTGCATGTTACAACCTCTGTATGTTACGACCTCTGTATGGACTACCATTGCATGTTACAGGTCTAGACAGGGAGAAGCTGATCATGCTGGCCTACCTGTGTGGGAGTGACTACACTGAGGGATTTCAAGGGGTGGGGCCTGTCACTGCTCTGGAGATCCTTGGGGAGTTCCCCGGCCACAACATAGAGGGACTTCTTGCACTCAAGTAGGCATGATATATTTGTTTTATAATACACTCCACCAATAAAGACACCATCAATAGTTGGAGGGTAAAATCTGTGTTATTTGCTGTGCCATGCTTTGAACAGAGGCCTGAGAGGATCCGGGGTAGAATTGGTCCTCAACAACCCATACTTGTCATAAGAGAAGACTAATGTGCCATACTTCAATGAAAGGCTATCTTCGTAGTTTCCTTAGTTCAGATTGACAACCCACTCAGTTCATTGGACTCAAACTATTCTGCTCCACTCAATATCTTGGCTAACACCAAAGTGTTGGCATTTTATTTACCATATTTGACGTAATAAGCGCCTCGCTCTAATAAGGGCCCATGGTGACATTTGCTGATATATTGGCTGGTGAACAATCCCAATTAGCACCCCTTCAGATTGATCAATGTACACAAGACAAACTTATTCGCTTGTAATATGCACTCGTGTGTTATATACACCCTTAATTATGGGCAATAAAATTCTGGAAAAAATGTATCTGTCGTACATAAACATTTCAGGCTGTCAGCATAACCATGAAATTTATCTTTCAACTCTGTTTTTTTCACCAAAATTATATTCTAATAAGAGCCCCCTATTTCTCATTTTGAGAGCGCCCTGGGCGCTTATTTAGTTGAATACGGTAATTATAGTAGAATGAAGTTAAAAAGTCTGAGCTAGGTTACTATTAGATTTTATCACACAAAACTTAACATTTGAAAGCTCTTGTTTTGCATTCAGTTCCAAATTCAATTGAGCATAGTTAAAACAACAGGTAACCTAGGTGAACATTGTTTATCTCCAAATTTTCTATCCAATGTCCTTGCCCCAATAAAAATATTATCTGTTATCTTGCCTCCAAGTCAAAATGTTGAGATCTGATATGGGGATAAAATACTGGGAGGGAATTAAATTCCTGAGTGGGACAATAAGTCCCTTATACCCTCTACAAAGAAAACAGGCTTCACATGAATTTCTGAAAGGGACAATAAATATATTGCATCCCACGAAGCAAAAATCTGCATGTTGTGTACGCAGTGCCGTCGCCAGCCGGGGGGGCAGTTCTGATTTTTTTTAAAGAAAACAGTTTTATTTGAATCATGAAAATACAAGTTTGGGACAAGTGATACTTGTACAAATATTTGTCCCCCTGTCAAAAAACGTTAACTACGGACTTGGTACGAGTTGGTGAAAGTCAATGATTGCAACTCATCAGGAAACCCAATTTTTCTTCTATATTTTTAGAAAAAAGGACTGTTGGTGATGTAAAGAATAACGTACTTGCAACTCTTGATTACAAATTATCTGTTCCTGTTGAATTAGTGATGAAAATTCCTTGCCAAAGTTCCGAACTTAATTAATTCACTCGGAACAAACAAAGTTATTCCTCACAGCTTGTAGGTTATTCTGTAAATATTTACATTAATGTGTCCAGCGGTGGTGCATTACATCAATGTCTGTGTGCAGGGCATGGTGGGATGAGTCGAGGCAACAGGACAAGAAGCCGGTGACAACTAAAGTGAGGACCAAGATACGAGAGATGGAGTTCAAGGAGGGTAGGTGCCTCATGCTGTCACTCACGTTCTAGGCAGGACTGCTGGCCCTCTGTCTGAGCCAAGCAGAAATGACAGAAGACTACCCAGTAGTATGTAGTCATTTATTGATATGCTAAGTAATATTGTACCTTGAATTTGGAAGTGACTCAGTTCTTGTTAGTCAAACAGAGGTTTCAAGTCACAATAACCACCTCTGTCAGAGGTTTCAAGTCACAATAACCACTTCTGTCAGAGGTTTCAAGTCACAATAACCACCTCTGTCAGAGGTTTCAAGTCACAATAACCACCTCTGTCAGAGGTTTCAAGTCACAATAACCACCTCTGTCAGAGGTTTCAAGTCACAATAACCACCTCTGTTAGAGGTTTCAAGTCACAATAACCACCTCTGTCAGAGGTTTCAAGTCACAATAACCACCTCTGTTAGAGGTTTCAAGTCACAATAACCACCTCTTGCAAGTCTTGCTTCGTTTTCTGTAGGGGTGCCCATTTTATGTAAGCTTATGAAGATGCTGGGCTACATCTTCCCGGCCTTTTATGAGTTCGAGTGCTGTATTACGATGTAAAAAAACCCTGCATATCTGGTTCCAAATTCAAATTAAGGTTAAATCAAGCTGTGTAACCCAGCTCTACATTGAAAACACATTATGCGTTACGTGTGTCCCTAGTGAAATGTGTAACAGATTTTACCATTACAATTCACAGTTTACAAGTTTTTTTATCGGTGAAATACTTGGGTTTGACAATGAGATTTTGTGTCTGCTATCAGATTTTCGTCATAGTAAATTGATGTGCCAATGGATTAATTGTGATGTGAAAAGCATGTTATGACATCATGATATCCGTTCCGGCCAGCCAGCCTATATGTATTGTTTTTTTACAAGACAATGACTGTCCAGTGTGGTAGCTAGATTCTTTAACAAGTGAGGATAATATGGCGTTCCCTGTCTCATTTCCACAGTCACACCGGGATTCCATGTCTCATTTCCACAGTCACACGGGGATTCCATGTCTCTTTTCCACACTCACACCGGGATTCCATGTCTCTTTTCCACACTCACACCGGGATTACATGTATCCTTTTCACACTCACACCGGGATTCCATGTCTCTTTTCCACACTCACACCGGGATTACATGTATCCTTTTCACACTCACACCGGGATTCCATGTCTCTTTTCCACACTCACACCGGGATTACATGTATCCTTTTCACACTCATACCGAGATTACATGTATCCTTTTCACACTCACACCGGGATTACATGTATCCTTTCCACAGTCACACCGGGATTACATGTATCTTTTTCACAATGACGGAAATGCCAGCATGTATTTTCATGAACCGAGCCTCTTTATGATTGTGCACGTTTTATCAGCCTTGTAAACACTGACCCTGTTTTGCTCTAGAAGTGCCACACTTTGTGCCACATAGTCCATAGTTTCTGTTTCTGCTCAAAAGGATAAAGAAATAATCGGTGATAAGAAATAATTACACTTGCATGTTTTACGGAACGTTTGTTAGAATTTCTGTATCACCCTCGTGCTCTCTTGGGAAATACAAGAAATCTGATACCGTACATAAACATTTCAGGCTGTCAGCATAAACAACGAAATTTATCTTTCACGAAAATAATATTCATATAAGAGCCCCCTATTTCTAATTTTGAGAGCGCCCTGGCCGCTTATTACGTCAAATATGGTACTCGTTTTGTTAACTAAGTATGCCACATATGCTTGTGTAATAATCTCTATATATGAACTTGGTAGTATTCCCTTACAACCCCATGTTGACTGCACTAAGCATATACACAAACAATGGCGGAAGAAATTCACATCAGGCATTCCACAGATACACTGAGTCTTAAGAATATTTGTTTTATGTATTTGGACGTATTGGTGAGTGAGTTTAGTCAAGGGAAGTTATCTTAACCTATACAGCTATTCTTGCAAGTAGATTATGATTTCTTGTCTCAATCTTGGATTGGATTATTTAGGTTTGCTGTAAATTTGTGAATTTCAGATTAGGCAGAAAAAAATAAATAGACTTGGTTCTCAGGCACTGCCCGCATCATCATAAAGTCAGGCCCGCGTTTCGATTTTATTTCCATCATCAATAAAAAATTTAACAAATCTTTTGATATTCTGCATCTCGAACACACAACCCCTGCAGTGAGATGCTACAATACTAAAGAATAACGGGGGCACAGGTGGCCCAGTCGTCTAAGGCGCTGCGATTCGCTGTGCAGATTTGCATCCTTTGGGCACGCCAGAAACCTATGATTGTGGGTTCGAATCCCGGTTCGCCCCGATTATGTTTCTAGGTTTGTCAGCACCATACCCGTACTCGTGGGTTTCACCGAAGTGGTAAATGTCTGAGACCTGCATCACTTCGGGCTTTCCTTCCACATTAAGCTGACACGCCAAGATAAAACTGGAATACTGTTAAAAGCGGTGTTAAACCCAACTCACACACACACACACACTAAAGAATAACATGATTTCCTCGAAATTATTGTAAGCAAAATTTGGTTACAGACAACAAAAAACCCAACCCAAAACACCACCCACCGGCACTATTCTTTTAAAAGCCTTTGCCTGAGAACCAATTCTTTTATATTTTTTATAGGCCTTAATCATCTGGGTCTTGACCATGCAAGTATTAGGTGTCAAACATGGCGGAATTAACTTCAGAAGATCTAAAAATGTATTTCCAGGATTTTGGCTCCTGCTTGAAAAGAAATGGAAGAGCAAAACATCTTGTGCATAAAAAGATATATACTTTCGGCCATATAATCCTATTTTTGTAGGTACATAGTTGATGTTTGTCATTCCAAGACGATTGGAGTTGGTTACAAAGAGTGTTTTCATTGCATTGGTTTTATTATTGAATTGTAGTAGTGAATGAGTAACTTTGGTTTAACACCGCTTTTAGCAATATTCCAGCAATATCACGGCGGGGGACACCACAAATTGGCTTCACACATTGTACCCATGTCGGGAATTGAACCTGGGTCTTCGGCGTGACGAGTGAATGCTTTAACCACTAGGCTACCCGACCGCCCCTTATTGAATTGTAACATTGTGGATGTGTTTGATTATAATATAACTGTTTTCACCAGTTATTTCATGGTATAGGAACATTGTTGATGTTTGTGTTTACGAGTGTTTTCACTGCACAGGTTTTGTTGTTGTATAGGAACGTTGTTGATGTGTTGGATTTCAACGAGTGTTTTCACTGCGCAGGTTTCCCTAACCCTGCAGTCATGGAAGCCTATCTCAACCCAACCGTAGAAGAGTCCACTGAGACTTTCTCCTGGGGCTCACCCGACCTTGACCTTCTCAGAGAGTATCCTTATGTGACGCCATACTATTCATTACCTCATAATCGTCATCAGAGAAGAAAATAATCTCGTTGAACAGCAAGCGATTCGAGTACAGCTCGTTACATAACGGTAATCCCTCAAAGGGTTGGACAGAGATTTATGCTAACCATTACTCCATGATCAAAAATGGAGGTAAAAAGTCAAGTGTGTTTTATGTATTAACTGACGATAGCTGTAGGCCCAAGGTTATTATTTTTATCTACAGAGGCTCCTGGTGAATACTAAGTGCTAATCTACAGGCTGTTGTCATATAGCTGGAATATTGCCGAGTGACCGCGTCAAGCAACAAACCAACAAGGCTAGACAGTTTTAATATCACTTAAGGGAGTATAGCCCTCTGTTTCAGAGACCCATGAAGATCAGGGGTAGAATAGGTCTTCAGCAACCCATGCTGCCGTAAAAGGCGACTATGCTTGTCGTAAAAGGCGACTAACGGGATCAGGTGGTCAGGCTCGCTGACTTGGTTGATGCATGTCATCGATCCCAATTATGTGGATCGATGCTCATAATATTAATCACTGGATTGTCTGGTCCAGACTCGATTATTTACAGACCGCCGTCATATAGGTGGAATATTGCTGAGTGCGGCGTTAAACAACAAACCAACCAATCTGTTTCAGATGTAGGTCTTTTCAATTGGTGGTTTCAGCATTATTATTGAGAATTAGCCTCTCAACTGGATTTTATTTTTGAATATTTGGTTGCCATATAATAAATAAATGAAGATTGATGTCTACAGTTTTCTTCTTTGTGTCTTGTTGTTCAACATTTGGGAAACTATATGAACAGGTCAAGGTCATTACTGCAGATGCTCCTTCTGATTGGTTGATTTTGTTTGTTTGTTGCTAAATGCCAAACTCATCAATATTCCAGCTATGTGGCAGTGATCGGTAAATAATCAAATCCAGTGATTGAGCATCAGTCTCAACAACTGGGGTACGATGCCATGCATCAACCAGTCAGAGAGTCTGACCATCCGATCCTGTTAGTCACCTTGACAAGCATGGGTTGCTGAAGACCAATTCTAGAGCGAATCTTCACAGGCTTTGATTGGTTGAAATTCAACATAAGTAAGATATTGTGCTCGAGGATCCTTGACTTTGTCAGTTATGCCAGTGAGAAGTTGGGTTGGAACAAGCAGAAGGCAGATGACCTCGTGCTGCCAGTCCTCAAGCAGCTCAACAAGAAGGAGGTATGGTGTTCAGTATACAGTCATGCCCCGCTTATACGGACTTCAGATATCCGGAAACCTCGGTTCCCGGACGATTTTCATTCAAAACGAAATAATTACTATATTAATTTATCGGTATATACGGAAATTCAGTTTCCGGAACCGGATGGTCATTTTCATACACAAAACACTGAAATGCACACAAAATTGTCTCACTTTCCCGGGTGGTAATCCTTTGATCGTGAGAAGTCAATTAACCAAGTGATACTGAGTTACGTTTGAGACGAGCTTGTTTATTGTACATGTCACTCACAAGGAAGCTTGTGCTTGTATAGAGACCTTGATTACATATTACGAGAACACAGGCGATCTGGACAATTTGGAATTATTGTTTAAAATTCAAACCTCAAAATGTGGTAAAGTTCAAACTTCCATGACAGATTTTTTGAAACGTGTATGTCTTGAATAAAGATTGAGTGGATGTATCTGTTTGCTCTGTCATCTGTCATGAGTTGCATAATTGAAGGGAAGTAACTCTTCCAGTAAGAAGCTGGTTTCAGTTATACGGAAATTCATTTATACGGACGAATTGTGAAATGACGCAAGTGTCCGTATAAACGAGGCACGACTGTACCACTGTTAGAAAGAGTTCTTGTCTGGTGTCTTACTTCAGTCTGTATCATAAGACAATATCTTTTTTAAAAGACTGATCAATGGATCCACAGACACTGAAAAAATGGAATGTGGAAAGAAGAATTGAAAATCATATGGCTGGCTTTGCATGACAATAATTGTAGTAATATGAAAAAATCGTTCCCTAACTTCTTTTGATTAGTATATAAGTACCCAAACATAGAATCCTACTATTAAGTGAATATGTGCTCCTATTTCAGACACAGGCTAAAATCAAGAGCTTCTTCCAACCGGAATACTTCATGGAATCGAAGCAGACGGTCAGCAAGCGTGTGAGACAGGCTCTGAAGAAAGTGAGGGGGGCAAATCACAATGAAGTACCTCAAGTCGTCACAAATGAAGACAGAATTCAAAGAGCAAAAGAAATTTTGGGAATGCCAAAAGGAAGGGGGAAAGGTCGAGGTAGAGGTAGAGGTAGAGGTCGGGGCAAGGTTAGAGGTCAAAGGCCAGAGATCAAGGTGAAGGATGAAGTTGCTTTATCAGAGAGTAGTTCCAGCGATGAAGGAGGGTTTTTCCGTGAAGAGCAGGAGGAAGGTGAGGAGATACAGAAGAAATCAGGAGATGGAGTGAAGAGAGGAAAAGGGAAGGGAAGAGGAAAAAACAGGAAGCTGGATGGAGACTTTGACAGTGTCAGACACACTGGAAGTGTGTCGGTTAGAGGACAATCAGTTCGCTCAGCTAAGAAATGAACTTTCCCAAGGACCAGACAATGAAGTGGGAACAATATGATGGAATTTATGTTGAGGCAGCAATGAAATACTGGTACATATCAAACTAGGCAGCAAAACTGGATTAATTTGTCTACCTCAATACTGAACAAAATATATTGGCCTTGGCATGAGTGTAGGCAGATTCCATTGAAATGTTAGCTAAGAATCTATTTAGGGGCCGAGCTGAAGCGCAATGGCTTGTGATTAAACTGGTGGCACAGTAAACTTCAGCTACCATGGTTACTCATATTGAAACAAAGTGTAAAAATCCACATTGGCATCTGATGAGGCTGCAGCATTGACCCAAGGGAAAGAACTCTGCTCGCTCCCCTACATGAGGTCAAAGCGTCTTCATCTTTTTCACCCTCTGTCATTCATTCTATTCCTGGCAGTGTTACATAGAAGATGTATATTTATTGTCATGACCTTGTTATATTTACTTGTTTACTTGAGTTAGTTTTTACACGACACAGTTTACACAATCTTGATCCTGCCTTTTTACTCAGGGATTGTCTTGTATTGTATTGTACATACATGTTTAATGTCATAATTCTGTAAATTATTTTTATTGAAGTGCTGAGAACAGTCTCATTAAATCTGATCATTATCTTCGATCTGATACCTCTTGCTGTGAGATCTGACAAACCCTGCATGAACCAATCACAGTGAAGGATGAGTAGGAGCCAATAAGATGTCGGCCTTCTAGCAGGATTCTGCTTCTGATCTTTACCATCTCAGTCTGGAAGGACAGTACATCCTTTTGGCTGTAGATGCCATGGTACTCAGAAACCACAAAGTGTTTAACATACCATGACAAAATAATAAAGCAGCCCTTTTTATTTTGCATTCAGAACTGTCCATTCATGTTCATTTCTGATATAAGGAATCCAGATATGCCGCTCTGAAATTTTTGAATTGCTCATTCTGAGAATTTAGAAGCCTCTAGCTGATTGCCTGGTTATGAAGTTCACCTTTCTTGATGTTTTCACAGAGAGCTATTGTATCGGAATATATGACCATGTTTTAATGAGGTTGGTCCTGATGTCTGCTATGATGAAATTTGTACAATTGTTATAATGCTTGTAATATTTGGGATGACCTCTCTATTTCCTTGTATATTTTTTTTCAGGATCCTCCCCATATCCTTGTACTTTTTTTATGATCCTCCCTGAAAACAAACTTTGTGAAGAGGAAGGGACTTAGTGCCCATCCTTGCCTGAGTCCACTTAGACACTTAAAAGTAGTCCCTGGTTGATGTGTCAGTTGCTTTCACAGCAGACAGGATCTTAGAATACATATTCTTCATCACTTTAACTAATATTCCATGAAAATAAGTTGTCATCAATGAGGACTACAGGTTACACACAACCAAATGTTTTCCCATAGACTTCAATAGTAACGTTATTTTATTTTTTTAAATAACTAAGCATTCAACAGCTATTACCTGTACGTGTGTGCACAGTTTGGCCTTCGAGCAGCAATAAAACAATAAAAAATGACTAGCTTAGCCAGCTCCTTTTCCGAGTACAGGAAGCTAAACACACCACCCCCAGTTTCGCACCAAATATCACCTACTTGAAAATAGCTGTGGTCACATTCAGCATAAGTCATCATGTTGAAAAAGACAGTACTAAATATAGAAAAACATGGTCAGTTTTAATAACTGAATGGATATACATTTGAAAGACATAAAAATCTTACAGAATATCCTCCAATCACAGCCTGCAGATATCTCTCGATCTGCACTGAAGGCTCCCTACGAAAACCGCACTGTCCAAACTGGTTCTGATTTGGTGTAGTAGAACTTGTAACACATGATCATCTCCGCTTTCATTCCCTGAGGGCCAATGGCTTTATTATCCTTCACGACTTTAATTGCAGCTTGAATCTCCTGATGATAAATGTCTTTGTTAAGTACATTACAAAACAGGTTTTGCAATATGTATCATATTGTGACTTAAGTGAGTTGCTGAGTAAGGTTTTACGCCGCTTTAGCAATATTCCAGCAATATCACGGTGGGCCATGTTTGGAATTGAACCCGGGTCTTCGGTGTGACGAGCAACGCTTGAACCGCTAGGTTACCCGACCGCCCCTGTCACTCAAGTATCACAATACATTTCTTATTGTGACTCAGGTTTTGCAATATGTATTATATTGTGACTCAAGTATCTCAGAACATATCGTATTGTGATTCAAGAAATCGCAATATGTATCATAATGGGAGCGGTCGGGTAGCCTAGTGGTTAAAGTGTTCGCTCATCCGCCGAAGACCCGGGTTCGATTCCCGACATGGGTACAATGTGTGAAGCCCATTTCTGGTGTCCCCCACCGTGATATTGCTGGAATATTGCTAAAAGCGGCATAAAACTTGACTCACTCACTCACTTGTATCATAATGTGACTTTGTTATAATGGTGCCTCTAATCATTTATATCTGCATGATAGGAACTCTTGTCTGGTCCTAAAGTCTGTCTGTCTGATGATCGCTGTGTTTCAGTGGAAGAATAGGTCACTGGCACCTCATGCTTGTGAGAGTCGACCAAACTGACATCATGAAATAATGAATTGCTGCTCATACTATCGACCATTAGTCTACTTGATGCAAACATCATTATTGACATGACTCTGTGATGTTGCTGGAATATATCTGACTAGGGCTATAAATGATATTATGCCACATGAACTATTTTGTACTAGAGCCTATAAATGTTGTTATTCCATTGTCATGTGTGATTGTAACACTGAGATATTGTAACTTTACACTACAATTCTCTGTATGCTGTAGAGGTATCATAATGATCATTGTTTCATTTACTGTTACTGTTACTGTAATGAAATTTTGTAATAGATATTTATTCATTCAATTTTCCCTAGGCAAGGGAGTTAACTGACTGAAAAGTCAAGTTTCCACCCTCGCCAAACTTGGCCTGAATTTTTTGGCCAGATTGAGCGCCACCAGTGTCAATTACAAGTTATATCCCTTCTATGTACCTCCTACTAACCAATCAGAATCCACCTCTCATAGCACCTGCCTTTTGCTTAAAACAAAATGGCAGGGCCCAGTCAAGACGATCTGATCGATAATCAAGGTATTTGTTTTGTAATAAAATGTGTCCTACCTCGCGAAGTACATCAAATCACTTGAGAACCTTGATTAAAAACATGAAAAGATTTGGAAAATATCTGTCCACGCCCAGTTGACAGTACATATGCTCTGCAAATCCTGCAATCAACCGAAATCTTCACAGCAGTTGCCATGTTGTTTATGAACTGTGAGTGTCAATTTCGTTACACGATTAGTCGAGCCAAATTAGAAGTCCATAATTCCAACCAAGTTCGGCAAGGGTGGAACCGCACTTTTATAGTCAGGTAACTCCCTTGCCTTGGGAAGATGCTTAATTTATTATGTGTGTGTTGATTTAGAGGAATAAGCATGACAGTGAAAATAAATGGTCGATTAATTAAACAACATTGTAAAATGATTGGGAATGTGTTCTGTATTCTGATTAATTGAAAAATGTTGTTACCTTGGATTTGAAGCCCTGCTGTGAATCTCCAGGCTTGAAAACTTTCCTTGATAAGTATCATGTCCCAAATTTGAAATACATAGATTTTGTCATGGCAACAAGAAAACCGCTTCCATTATATATTGTGTTTGTTACTTATCAGAAAAACTTTGATTTAGTTGATTTGTATTATGTTTCTCGGTTTATCAGCACCATACCCGTGCTCATGGGTTTCACCAAAGTGGTAAACATCACTTCGAGCTTTCCTCCCACATTGAGCTGACACGCAGCGATATAAGTGGAATACTGTTAAAAGCGGCGTTAAACCCAACTCACTCACTCAATTGAAAGTAATATAGAGACGAAAAAGTAAATGTAAGGCCAAATAGTGGTAGGGTCAGCAGACCTGGACATTGATATCCTCGAGTGAGTGAGTGAGTGAGTGAGTGAGTGAGTGAGTGAGTGAGTTTGGTTTAACACCGCTTATAACAGTATTCCAGTTATATCGCAGTGTGTCAGCTTAATGTGGGAGGAAAGCCCAAAGTGATGCAGGTCTCAGATGTTTACCACTTCGGTGAAACCCACGAGCACGGGTATGGTACTGACAAACATAGAAACACAATCGGGGAGAACCAGGATTTGAACCCACAATCACAGGCTTCTGGTGTGCCCAAGGGACGCAACTCTGCACAGCGAATCGCGGCGCCTTAGACGACTGGGCCTCCTCAAGGGAAACCTCATAATGAAAACAATACCAGACAATAATAGCATCCTAACTGGAGGGGATATTGTTCAGCAGGGCGGCACAGACAAAAAGTTTATAGCATCACTGCGGCAGTCACCATGGAGCTGGGCCAGCTTGACTGGAACCTTGGATCTTGGATCTCTGCGGAAACTATGGGAAGAATAGCTTTCTGGGTTCCGACCTGTGGCAGCATTCAAGGTTTTATTTTGTTGTGTAGGCGACAGGCTGTGTGCTGTTTGGATCTGGAATTACGAAACCTGGGGACTCAGGTGGGGCGGGCATAAGCAACGAATGGCCCTAATAGAGCAGAAGGGGGATCCTGGAGCTGCAGGCAAGGGAATTGTGAGTTCTCTCTCTCCAAGCTGAATTGTTTTAGACCACTTAATGGAGACCAGAATCCCAGGTGACGCTTACGAACGTATTCCTTTTTAGAATCTTTGAAGGAGCTAGATGATTGAGGAACTAGATTGAGGAACTAGATTAGATCATCAGGAAAAAAGGAAAATAGCCAATACGCTGCATCTGTAGGCGTGGGGCAGTCTAAACAGGAAACGTTGTCTAAGTCGCTGTGATTCGCTGTGCAGAGTTGCGTACCTTGGGCACACCAGAAACCTATGATTGTGGGTTCGAATCCCGGTTCGCCCCGATTATGTTTCTAGGTTTGTCAGCACCATACCCGTGCTCGTGGGTTTCACCGAAGTGGTAAACGTCTGAGACCTGCATCACTTCGGGCTTTCCTCCCACATTAAGCTGACACGCTGTGATATAACTGGAATACTGTTAAAAGCGGAGTTAAACCCAACTCACTCACTCACTCACTCACTCACTCCAGATCAGTTACCTTGATGAAACCTGGGTGAGTCATTCCACTGAACATCACCCACTGCCCAATTTAAACAACCCCCGCCAAAGACCCGGGTTCGATTCCCGACATGGGTACAATGTGTGAAGCCCATTTCTGGTGTCGCCCGCCATGATATTGCTGGAATATTGCTAAAAGCGACGTAAAACCATACTCACTCACTCACTGTAGGCGACCATGCAGGGATATCTGACATAGTGCAGTCATGGAGAAAATTCGCCTGAATAAGAGACCAGTAAACTACGAGACCGATGTCCTGGCGGCACAAACACGGTCATGTTGTCTTACGTACGTCTGTTGTGAGCTCAATTATTTTGAGCTTATCTGGGCTAACTGTAAAAGGTTCGTGGCAAGACATAAAAAAATATTCACACTCACAACAAAACATTCAGATTCACACATATCAAAGGGTGGATGAAGGCTGTCTTTGCTAAAAATCACGCCAGAAGTATGGCGAAAGGCTGAAGATCACGTTCTAGAAATAGAACATCAGTACCGCCAACGTGAAGACATACATCAGCCTTGTTGCACCAGTTGTCACACCTTACAGATTCAGATACGTCATCAGCTGAGTCTGATGCTTGCTACCGTCTCCGTGGTCTAGTGGTAGAGCGTCCGCCCGGAGAGCGGAAGGCCCGGGGTTCGATCCCCGACCGCGTCATACCAAAAGACGTTAAAAGAGGGTTCTTGTTGTTACGCGGTCTGGCGCTCGGCATTAAGGGGCTAAAACAAGGACTGGTCGGCTCGGAGTCAGTATATTGTGTCTGAGTGGGGTATTCATGTTAAACTGCGGCATGGTATCTCAGTGAGCTAGCACTATAAATCGGCATCAGTCCGGGCTAGTACAAGCAGCCACACAGAAAAGAAGGCTGCAAGTTCGATCCATTGAAATATAAAGAAAACAGTTGTCAATTGAATTTACATCAATCGAGATTTCACCCGATTGGAGAGATGCTTCCATTTGAAAAACAAAATATCAGTTGGTCTTCGGACTACATCATACATCAATTTTATGTAACATGTGCCCTCCCCGTACATTTTGAAGCATGACCATGCCCCAAACCATCTAACCCACTCAGCCATGGGGCTTCCACAAAAATGAAAGTCCGACAACTGGTAGTCTAGATCACGTACTTTGTGTACCCCTCTGAGAAGTGTAAACTGGCACGGCCCCCATGGTTAGGCTTAGAACCGGACGGGACTCAACCCCAAAAGTACAAGAATCTGTACTTTACAAAGAAAGTGTTATCCCAAATATAACATTTGTTACATTTGACCACGGCCATGGGAGCCGTGCCAATTTACACTTGTCAGAGCGGTACACAAAGTTCGTGATCTAGACTACCAGTTGTCGGACTT